GACCCAAATGGTTTACAGGAGTGTACCAGAAAGGTTATTGAAATACTGTTTTGTTAGCGTAATTAGGCATTATCTAACTAATTACATTGACAAAATATGATTAAATTTGCATTGCATTCATCATTCTACGCATAATTTTGTTTTCCTATGGATGGTTTAGTGCCGTTCTATTTTGTTTTGCCCAAATAATTATTTACACACCATCAACGTTGATAATATACCGTACAAGAATAAAATGAAAAATGAAAATGAATTTAAAAACCATCCCGAATCTTATTTATTGATCCCTTTTGACGATACATCATCAATCTCGCATTGCACTTTACTCGAAATTCAATAAGAGCTTCTGCATTCGGTCTTTCGCAGGAAATCGTTGCATTACCATAAATTGTTCTTTATTTAAGATTTACTGAAATGAAAGTTACAAAGTACTCAATGTAACGATTTATTTTCTCCAGTACAAAGCATTATTATTGTTTACGGTTTATTACGTGTTGAAAGATCACCGTAATTTTTTCAACGATTTGATAAATGGTTCCATCTATTGGAGTTTAATAACCTAATTTTTTGGCTCAATTTTGATGGCGCATTTTTTGCCTTGAGTGGCAGGTGTCCACTTTTATCTGTCTTTCCTTAATAACCGAAAGCGTAAGGTTGAACGCATGGAATTCTAATTGTCATCTTCTGTATATACTGATCTCTTGCTATTGGATCCATAATTTGGAGATTCCGAAGAAATTAGTGGACGGAATTTACCTATACTCCTAGTGAAGATTTACATTTCCTTTCTTCCTTTCTTGTCGTAAGTAACGCCATTTGCATTTCATGTATTTAGAGTGTGCTTTCTTTAGGTCGACTGGAATTTGTTGTGCTGCAAGTTCCATCGACAATTGTTGCATTAACCCTCTTATATAAGAGGTAGGTATGTAATAGTTATTTGTACAACTAGTTTTGAAAGTGATACTTTTTTTCATGAATTTGCAGTTTGAATAATGAGGGAGAAGCCCGAGTTAATCAAGCAAATTTATGGAAAAAAAGACACTTTCAACACGTATTGTACACGAATTTTTTTGCATAGTGATCCATAATAACCCACAATTGAATAATTTGATTGACTTCGCGATTTACTGCCACTCAAAAGTGGATGCTATTGTTCATAGACAGGACTAAACTCCATGGAAACGCATAGTAAAAATCGTGAAAAAAAGTACCACTTTCCATACGATTTTTCGTTTAAAAAAGTCCGATAATTTCATCACTATGTAAAAAATTTTATGTTCATATTCATTTTTTTGAAATTTTAAAAGGGGTTGGAATTTAATTCCATTGAGGTGGCCAAGGGTTAGACAGTGGACTTTTCGAAATTTCTTATTCTAAATTTTATACTTCACAAATTAATTTTATTTTTGTAAAGAACACAGGAAGTGTCATGGAATTTTTTCTTTTGTATTTTAATGGCACGATAAAATTATGAGACTCTAGTTTGGCGCTAAAGGATCTCAGGTTTACATCCTGTCTCGATAAGAAAACTGTCCATTTTCTGTATAGGTGTAGGAAAGATTGTTAATTCATGCGCCGAAAAGTCTTGTGAGCTATTACGTTTTGAGTTGCAGTCGAGCTTATTTTGTTAATAAGAGCCTGGAATTTTAAAATAGTCGGGTAGGTCAACTTTCGTTCAGGAAATTCCCTACGGGAAATTAACGAAGAAAGTAAAAATTCGCGAAGTTTTCATTTAAAGGGCGCGGAAAATAAACACTAAATATCGTATCGGTATCGTATCGCGGTCGGTAATCTTGCGACCATCGCTAAAACAGTTCACGCTGTAAAGAATCGATCGGTGCGACCCGATTTGCAAAATCATTTTTGGTTGTCTAGAACACAAGCTCCCAAGTCAAAATTTGAATTCTGGTAAACTATTAATCGGATTTGGACGTGTTTTTTTAATGTACGTCTTTCCCAGAGCTTTCCATTCGCCTATTATAGAGTTGCATTGCTTATTGTTATATTTCGGAAATTATTCTATTTGCTAACTAAGAAAATTCTTCCGATTTTGAACAAAAATTCTACAACTCGTCGATATTTCCAAAAATCATCGGGGCAATAATTGTTGGAAAACCCAGTTAATGAAAGACAAGGCATCGTTTTTTTAAATTTGTTATTTAATTGACCAATAACTATGATACCTACGGCGATCGGGTTTGTCATATTGTTTTGTTCAAAAATATTGGATGAATTTTACTTAGTAATAACAAATTGTTAATTGTCGGGATTAGGTACTATTTTTAACATAGATTTTTCGATAAAATAAATATCATGTTGGAAATGAACATTCCGGACAAAATCTATCTTATAGAGAATAAATGATTCTAAACAAATTGATTTCTATTAATTTTTCCTCTCAGAGTAATAGTTGACAAGATATTGGAGGGCCAATGCGAAAAACGACATTTTCCCATTTTTTCCTGATTTTTTTTTATAACAATATGTTCCGGGAGTTTTCGGATCTACTGTTTGAAGTCATTAATATAATAATAAACACTCAAATTGTATTTTTTAATAGGAAAATATGTATGTGTACAGAATTGTGACTTGAAAGGTAAATAGATTTTTTCTACAACTGTCAAAAAAACCTGTCATTTTCTGACGGATTTCGAAACGCGAAGTACTAGATTTTTAATCGGTTAATTAATAAGTAAGGTTGCTCTTGACAACGTGCGCGAAATCGTCAACAGTGAAAAAAAGTATTTCGCGCACGGGACAAAGTTGAACTTAAACATCAATTTAATTAACAATCGGTTCAGTTGTAGAAAAAATATTGTATATAACGCTAGCGCGAAGTTATTTCGCGCATTTGACTGATATTTTAACTCGGCTTCGCCTCGTCAAAATAGCTTCAGTCTCAATGCGCGAAATTGAACTTCGCGCTCTTGTTATATAAATAACTATTAAATTCCGGTGGGAAAAACTGCCAATTAGGTATTACTGCATTAAAGCATTGAATAAAAACATAAAGTTAACGTATATAATTTTTACCAGTGGCGTAAGTTTGTATCATTATTTGTTTAAAAGCAAAAAAAGCATCCGCCAGTTATAATTGCCAAAGCGAAGAACTCCCGTCATTGCATTGGTATTGTAGCACAACTCGAATAGAACAGCATGTGCACATTTAACTTCAAAGTGCTGTTCTTTACCCGTACCTACGGTTGTCGTTTTTTTATTGTTGATTTATGATTATTGTTAAGTCAATCTCTGATCGATTGTACCAGAAGCGTGCTGATAGAGATTCTCACAATACGTATATATAGATAATAATAAATAATAATAATAATAGTATTTTATTCCATAGACAAACTAGTTTGTGTGGAAATTGTCAACAAATATTTAAATTACGAGTAGGTAGATACTTCTTTTTCAATATTGCAAAAATTGTAAACGGATTATTAGGCCAAATGAATAAGGTCTGGAGAACAAATTGCCTTTTTATTTGCGATGTTAAATCCCTTTCTTAGAGTATGATTAATGGCACTCAAGTTTTTGAGAAATGATCTAGTATAGAAGGTATTGCAGTGCAATTCCCAAAATTGTATATTTAAGACGGCTGAAATAGTATATTAAGTATGGAGAACGGTAAGGGATTTTTACCGTTCGAAGACAATTGTTTGGAGGAGGAGCGAAGCGACGACTCCAATTATTGTCTGAGAACGGTAACCCTTAACGTTCGACGTGCTTATAAAATTTTTTGCGCGATCGAAATTAAATTTATGCAACCAATATAAATATGCACTAAGAAATTAACGAGCAGAATAAATCGAAATGATCGAAGTGGTATGGTGTATATCACTAGGTAACCAGTTTATTTCTCAAAATTGAAGTTAATAATTTCATAAAAATGTGCATGTGTCTGATGTAGTTTACTAGCTTTGAACTTCCTTTATGACTTTATGAGCGTCTTGCTATAGGAAACAACAGCACAAATTGTACGTTTAATGTACCTAACAATAATTAAAGATTAATGTAATGTAAGACTGTTGATTTTTAAAAAGGCGTCGGTAAGTATTTTTGCTGTTCTGTTTTTAGATCGGTAAGTAATTTTGACGTCGTCGTAATCATAGCAACTGGTAAATTCTACCTACTGTCATGGAAACACCCATGGTAAATAGTCAGAAATGACCGATCGCGCAAAAAACTCATAAAGGGTCTGTAAACATATTTATTTTCTATAACGTCCTACGCATTATGTATCGCGATTACATTTGGTATGATATTAACTATTAAAAAATGCGTTACAACTGAATACCGAACGATCCTCGAGATCGTTTTTGGGCTGTAACTTTTTGACCCGATATAGCCTACGTAACTGAAAAACAATAGCGACCTTTCTCATATCCTTTAGAACATGTGTACCAATTTTCAAAGCGATAGAACGTTTCTAAACAAAGTTATTGTGCACCGGACAGGTAGACTAGAGTATCGGTTGTATATGCAACTTCTTCATATATACTAAACTACCGAATTTTAAAAGATATGGAAAATTCGGAGTTAGGTCAGCCATTTTGAAATGGTGCGGTTTTGAAACTGTCAAGTGTTCAGTATGCTTCTGATGCCAAAATCAGATTTCAATCTTTTCACATATGCGCGAAATCTCCTCATACCTAACGCTTTATACTGCCTATCTTTAACTACTGTATACGTGAAACCAAACTTCCGTAACTTTTGCTAAACCCCATAGCATATATCCTCAAAGTTAGGAAGTTCAGTTTCTGAAGACAGTTCGTCGAACGTCAAAACCTTTATGATTAAATTCACAAATTAGAGTGTACAAGTATTACCTATAGTGGGTTGAGTGAAAGGCGCATAAATAGAATGCCAATACGTCAATTATTGACGTATTTTGAGTTTTCTAATACTCTATGGGCGCGGTCTTATATTTTACCGGAGAAAAAATCCACGAATCACCAAAATACTACAATTTGTCTTACGGAACACAACATTAAACTTACCCTGGCATCTAGTTCACAATCACAGCATAAAGCAAGCACATAACAGAGGACTCGTTCGTTCCAATTAATAAAACTGGCAATAGATATTAGACGGAATTAGATTTCACCGAAATAAGTAACGTTACTCGAAGACGTGTAGAATATGACTGGTGTTTATATCATCTTACAAATGGCCTTCTCTTATCACCATCGATACACGAGTTGTGATTCATCCCCATTTATTATGTTAACATAATATATTCATTTATTCTCACATTTTCTGTCGCATTCAAGAACCGAATTTAAAAATGAAAAAATGTTACTGAAGTAAAACAACGGAACCTAGTTTTTCATTTCTCAAAAAATTTGATTGGCTAAAATTCAAAGACAAGTTTCTTCATTGTCAGTCAACTGGACATGACGTTAATCTGTCACAGTACAACCAGCCCTAATACTTTTAATCGTTGGGTAAAATTTTTTTTTGAAATTGCTTACAATTTTTTCACTTAAAACTACTTCTTATCGTTCGATATGCACTATATACTTTGGACGAGTGACGGAAAAGTCCAATATGGCGTGATTGATGTGATTTATTCGAAAGCCGTAAGCTATAAAAAATTTATTTTATCACCATCAGAAGGATGAGAAAACCCACTGAAGGCTTGTTAAAATTATTTCTTTATATCTTTAAAAATAAATGAACGCCAGCGGATTTTCAAAAATGACATTTTTCGGTTTTTTGGCCATAACTTCGCTATTTTTCCACTTAAGTGACTTTGTATCTCTTTACGGAGATCCTCATACTGAAAATGAAAACCAGCTGACAAATTCTTGACAGAGCAGCTTCCTAGCTTAAACTAGATATTTAAAAAATTTTTTTTGACAATCTTACTTCTTTTGTACCTAATGGACATTCACGAAATCAAAATATCCCTTTTGCCGGAAAAATATTTTAGTTTTTTAACTTTGATATTTTTTGTAACAGTTTTCCTTTTGTAATAAAACCTAGCATAATTCTTATCGGTTGTATACAGAAAAATAAGTTCTTTCGTTTAATTTAATAAAAATCTTGCCCAATATACAGGGTGGTCCAAATTAGACACTTTCTTATGGACACGCCCATTATTTTAAGAAATAGAAAGAATGGACCTAGGTATCGGGAGCTCAATTTTGAAGAGAAAATCACTGGCGCAAACAGTTTTTTCATATGGACCACCATGTATATTTTGGAGTTTTTCAAAAGAGTGTAAAGTTTTCTAAATTTTGATGTATCACTTATTATATTTACATTAAATATTTCTAATATTGCATGTTATACAGTAAAATATTTTTATTGCAGACATTCCATGGCGAACAAAAGATGGCAGGATTGTATAAACGACAATAAATTCCTTGGTTATCTGCATTATTTATTGTATATTATATTTATTATATGAGTTATTTGTTTTACTCACACGACTTTTCAGGTCCTTTGTTTTTGGTGTTTTGAAACTAAAAATATTTGGAATCGATAAAAAGTTTCAAATAACCCAGAGATTTTAATTTAAACAATCCTGCCTTCTTTTGTTCGCCATGGAAACCTAGATGTCAATATTGCAAATAATATTTAATGTAAGTACAAGTGATACATCAAAATTTAGGAAACTTTACGATCATTTGAAAAACTCCAAAATATGTAAGGTAGTTCATATGAAAAAATGTAGTTTAGGGTCGTATAGAAAAAACTAAACACCCTGTATAAAAACTGCGAATCGCGATAGATTCTACATAAAAAAGTGCCCTAAGGAAGATTTTGCCAAAATCAATTATTTTTAATGATAAGAAAGTTATGGCATGGGGGCATTTAAAGAAATCGGCTAAATTCGAGAAACGCCCTCTACCGGCCAAACGATTGATATATCTGAATTCTGTTTGTGCCAATGATTTTCTCTTCAAAATTGAGCTTCTGATACCTTGGTCCATTTGGGCTATCTCTTCAAATAAATTACGTTTCCATAAGAAAGTGTCCAGTTTGGACCACCCTGTACATATCCAAAATTTTAACAAAATTGGCTTAAAATGATCTAAAACGCCGACATTCGATAACATTTTGACAATTTCTATATTTCTAGTCTCAACACGAACTTTATTTACAATGGAAGAATCTTGCTTTTACAATGTTAAACAGATCTCTAATTTACCACACAAAACAACCCAAAATTCACTAATTAAAATCCTTAAAGGACCCGATCTGTATATAAATATAAAAATACACATTATATTATTTATATGACGTCTAAAAAATACCATATAGTCGTCCAATTGGACCAAAATTAAATCGCCTCTAATTCAAGTTCCCGGACTTAGTTGTTTTGGAACGTAGACGTAAACCCCACGAGGATAGTATTACCGCATGTTAATTCCCGACAGACTGACCCCGTAACGTTAATGGAAACACCTTGTATAATATTCCCTAATATCCAGCATCTAAAACTACGCAACGCTAGCGCAATTCAAAAAATTCAGCCCTATTAAAGCCTCCCGTTACAAAATGATGTGGATTTGTACCGAAAATATGCAGCTCTATACGTCCCTCAAATATGCACATCAAATACGTTTGTAAAACTTTGTGTGTTTTAGGTACACCCTTAAAAGGCAAGGTAACATTTTATAAGTAATTTGGTGACCGTTTTAGTAGTTTTAGTCTATTTTGTCATTAAAGGGAAGGTTCGTGATCATATCCAAGGAGACTGGGGGTGCGGATTATATCATTCAACTAGTGTGGGGATCATCCATTTATTGCTATTTAAAATGTTAATTATAATTTAAATTATTTTAACTGCTGAACAATTAACGCGACGGGATTTGCATCCCCAAGGATAAGTTGTGCAGATTTCCAATTCAGAATGGAGGAAAATAGTTACAGTTGTATAGAATTCTTATCAGATAGATCTCAGTTCGTCGAACTTACCGGTAAATGTGGTGAAATCATCAACAATAAATTTAACTCAGCTGAGCTACAATACGACATGGGTACCCCACAGGGTTCAACTCTGGCTCCACTACTCTTCGCTATCTACGTGAACGACATGGATGAAGCATTTGCTGATCTCGGTGTTGCTCTCTGCAAATACGCAGATGACACCTCCATGATACTTTCCGATAAAAATCTAGACAGCCTAACTGGGAAAGTCAATAATGCAGTGCTACGAATGATGGAGTGGTGTACTGCTAATAAACTAAAGCTAAATGACTCAAAAACAAGCGTAATCTTCTATCACAATTGTCGCGCAAGCTCGCCGAGTTACCCAACTATATACATAAACAATAAAGTACTATCATTCGACAGCAACGAAAGATTTCTAGGCGTGCACATTAATGAAAATTTAAACTGGGCTACACATGTCAACCATATATGCGCCAAACTTAGTCGTGCAAGCTATACAATTTTATGTTTGCGGGATGTTGTCTGGTCATTCACACTCTTACTATATTATTATGCCCATGTGCAAAGCCACCTACTATACTATTATCATTTGGGGTCATGCGCCAGCTGCGAACAGAGTTCTAATTGCTCAGAAACGCATAATACGGCGATTGTGTCATCTGGTCCAAGAGAGCACTGCCGGCCACTTTTCAGGCGCATGAAAATTATGACTGTCTGCTCTCTCTATATCTACAGATGTGTTCTCTATACGTTCGACAACCTCCATCAATTCAGTACCAACCAAGATGTCAGCAGCACGATGAAAACGCGTTTCGCACGGCAACTCTGTATCCCAAAACACACTACACATTTATATGAACAATCTCCCACATATAGGTGCATTAAATTATTTAATCACCTACCTATGCGGATCCAAAAATGCAAAGCAGCACAATTTAAATCCTTGGCGAAAAATTTCTTTCTGGAGCACCCATATTACACAGTGGTGGAGTACTTGGCAGGCTCTCCAGTATGATATCGAGAGTCCTATATGTCTCTTGTCTTTTGTTTTATACACTTATAAATGTTTTATATACTTATATGTTACGTTTGTCACTAACTAATTGTTTGTATACGATTTACTCTCCTGACGACCCTATATTACTAATGTAATCTGAAAGGGAAATAAATAAATATGAAATATGAAATAGAACTATGAACGATTTCCAACAAAATTGCGACGAATGTTAAAAACTATCGGGTGCCATTTAGAAAACTTGAACCTGAATCTTTAATATAGGAACCAAAGGGGTGTATGATTTAATACTCTACTTAATTCTTTGATTCTAAAACAGTTGTTTCTATGTAAATAAGTTTGAGGTTAAAAATTAACTCGCTTTTGGTATTTCTACTTCAATTCATCGCCCCGCTCCTTTTGTAACGTTTCTTGGTTACATTTGATGGTACCCGCAACAATACTTATTGAAGATTGTTATTATAAAGTTTTTTTTAGAAATAAACATTTAAATTTTGTGCATTACAATCCCATATCACAGACAACCATATCAATAAGCGTTCTCTAATGTTGACACACTACACACATGAATTGCTGCATGGAATAATTACTGTATATTCGATAAACAGAATTTGATCTATTGGCGAAAAGCTGTGCAATAGGAGAGTATTATGCTGACTGTTTTTTCACAAATAGCTGTACACATTCATCATGCATTGGGGCAGTTTCAATTGAATTTATTGTTTTACTGATAGTAGAAACACTCGCATCGCACCCTCATGGTAGCTGTCTGCTATATATACACATGAAAATTACATCCGCTCAAAAAACATGAAAAGGATTGAGCTTTATTTTGCGGGCGAGAAACGGATCGTAAAGTGAGAGGTTTTGCAACGTATACTTATCACTCCATTGTCCCTTTTGGGATTAAGGTTTCTTTAACTATGCAACCGGAAACGTTCTATATAAATATACATAGGTCTCAAATATATCAAGGTCCATATTCTTAAAGTTACTTACTCATTTCCATGACCGCCTTGTAGATTTGGAACAGATTTTCAAGTACACGAAATACTACTTATTACCAGTTCACATGCTTTGGCATTTGTGAACTTTTTACGTGGCTAACACAAACGAATAAACAAAAATTGTTTACATTTAGGAACGAAACCGTCTGTATTAGAAATGGGGTGTGCCTGGTCAAATGCAGTTAGTCATTAAGTTGCTGATATTAAAAGTAATAGTTGTCGAATAAGGGGCAACATTTCAATTAAAACTTAACCAGCAACGAATTGACTAAGAAAAGTGGGCATTTGTAACCTTAACAAAGAGGCCTGTGTACGCCCACCTCGAATTTCCACAAGCACTACGTTTATTGTATTTTTTTTTCAAAAAGAGAAAGGGATAAATTTTTTAAATACCTGTTCTTTACATATCTCAAACGTTTGTAACAAGGAACCAAATGAAGGGGTGATGTATCATCGCGCCCGTTACTTACGAGTCCGTATCAGAGGTTGTACATGAACCCCAGCATCCCTAGCTACTGGGGCGCAGCATCCCTTACTGTTTCTTTGGAATAGGCGGTGGCGCTCGAACGTCTCCGAAATCCGCTAGTCAATAACGGGTCGCTGGCGCAAAATTCAGGAGGGGCGCCTGGATTAACTATGATGTTATTATATGAACGGGACTAAACTATGAATGAATTATTCCACGAATTATTCGTTTGATTCTTATACCTATTGATTTTTTTGCCGCGGTAATTGCGCGAATAAACTTCTTAGCCACATTAAATGATAATAAAAGAGTTATTTAGTCCTTTATATTCCTTAGCCGGAGCAATTTTCTGTGAAGCGTAAGACAAGAGGAACTTCAAAAGATCTTCAGACTTTAAATAGGTTAATTGATTATGAAAAAAAATGTAAATTTTAATCTGAAATTTAAAATTTAATGTTCGAAAACTTAAGTGTAACCATGGGAATAATCAGCGTATTCCCCCAAAGCCATATCTAATAAAGAGAATGAACATTCGGAAAACAAATCCGCACAGTCTGTATTTTCTTTTTCGTGGCCAATACGATAAGCCCAATGATATAAGCGATGTTCTTCCGGTTCCCAGTTCATTATTTTCTGTAAAGGAAAACTGAAAAATCGTATAATCAGATAAAGCTGTCAAATAAGTAAGCTGCGGCCTTACCGAAACGCAATTCGAATTAATTCCTCAACCAGGCCCGTTTGTCTTGATAAAAATCGCCTGGATGTTTCGCATAAAGCTCTCAATATGCAAGAACGTCCGTTAAATCCCATGCTATAAAAGAAACGCATAAGTAAAGCTAGTTCTTTTGAAACGTGGTAGCGTATACGAGTCCATAATAGTCTCCATGTTTCGATACAAATCTCTTCGATTTCTCCGTTGCATTACATGCTTGGGATGGAGAAATTGTCTCAGTACAGAGGATTCGTTCGGAAGATCGTAGGCAATTCCCCAATTTATGGCTTCCGTAAAAATTTGTTCCGGCAAAGTAGTTTGTGCAGTTAGACATATGGCGATCTAAAATGTGGATTTTAAAATTCAGCAGAGTTTTATGACTTTGGGTTTTTAGCATTCTCTTGAAAGTTATTGGTTTTTTTTTATTAACAACGAAATAAAAATAGAAATCTAGAGGATATCACTATCGGAAAGATATAAAGCGGAATAACTCACAGACAAACTGGAGCCCTCTGGAAAGACTAGATATCTTTTGCGGCGCAGCAATAGAGAATTTTCACTCTTCGGACTACTACATGTTATTTTGAAAGCGAGCAGGCAAAATACTACCGAAATAAATGAACAACGATTCATCTCAGCGCGATCCTTAATAGTAAATTAAACTCGAAGAAAGAAGATACATTCGTATCTGATAAATGGAAAGTAAATATTTGTTCTTTTAGAAGCAACGGTGCGTGAATTTAATTGCCGACGGAGTATTGAACTAGACGAGTGTTTCATAACATTAAGACCGTTAATCCTTAATTAGTATAACAAACGTCATGTTAACAAACCGAAAGTGCGGTTTCTATGGCTGGTTTGAGTGTCTTCCTTTATTATTTAATTAGAAGAAACATGTGCCAAAGATTTTACGGATACATTGCATTATCAGTACTTGCCAACATACTACCGTCACATAGTGATAACACCTTTAAAAACCTCTCCAGAACGAAACGCTTCTTAATTTTCCCAGATGGGAGTTCTCTTCAACTCGGTACGAAACTGGCACAGCCTGAAAACAAGGTTAATCGTTTATTTTTAGTCTTCTGCTTTACAATTCCAATAAGTGGCAAAGCGGACATATTCACAATAGGATGGACAGCTGCGCTGGCTTGGGAGCTTCCATCCGAACCAATACATCTGTTTAAAAAGAAGGTGCAGGGAATGGAACGTGTCGACAAACCGGGAAGTGTATCTTCCGGCGGTTGGTCAGTTCAAAAAGCATCTTCCTCAACAAGTGACTCGATTAAAAATACTTACACGGCATCAGCTATTAAGGATTCTTTAACCGCCCCCGGATACAGCAAGATCCGCTATAACGGAAAACCTGATACAAGTTATCGCGAATATCTAAGAGGGAAATATGTCGACTACCGACCTATTTATGACGCTTTAGATTTAAAGACGCCTTTCAAATCTAATATCGTGATGAAGGAACCGTCTTCGTTTTATGAGCATCCTGTGTACAAGGAAGTGCATAGAAGGACGAGAAGGGATCTCTTTGCAAAAATTGAGAAATTTCTAGACGCGTATGTATTGCTTTCCTCTATTGAAAATCGTTATGATAAATTGATGTCAAACTATAGACGCTGTCTTGTTTATCTCCAATATTCTGAATTTTCATCACTCTGCTTCCCCTTGCCATTACTTCTGATATAAAATTTCAAACTCAACTTCACGTTTGAATTTGTAAAACTCGCCGGTTTTGTATAAATTTCTTTTTAAATGTAAACACGATAGTCCTGGGTGATAAAGAAGTTACTGTATCTTAATGTGCTTGTCAAAAGGGCTAGCGAATCTTATTTCTATGTAAAACGATATCGATGTATCTTTGTTTCCACACATTCTGATTTAGCGTACCGAGCTTCCATTTTAACGCAGCGAAAAACATGAATAGTTTTTAGAGTTACATTAACTATAGCACTATGGATCATAGTATAGCGCGAAATTAGCTAGGAACCACGTATAACGTACATCCTCGCTATTCTTAGGATATTTTACCCCGAATGAATAATAGGTACCTATTGGGCCATAAAATTTATTACTTCTAATTTAGAAACTTTCATGCTGAAAATCAGACTGAGATTTTCTTATATGAGAAGAGATGGAATTCCATACTAATAGTTAAAAGTGACAATTATCGACAAACGAATTTGCAACAATATGACATTTTTTGTTTAATTCAAAAGACTCATGTAATTAGTTAAACATCCAATACTTGCTTCAAGTTAAGTCGAACTTAAAATCTGTGGCAACGATTATTAACACAATCGTTGCTATGGTATCTAAGTTATGCTTAACTTTAAGGGATACTTAATTTTGACGGTGCAATTGGCCCTTATTTCCTTCTAAGGAGCAGAATTGGACACTGGTAAACAGACTTTTTACAAACGAACCGAAAAAATGTATCAACTATTAAACACTGCCTAAAAAATATAGGTACTAGTTAATACAACCTACACTTTACGTCTACGAATTTTTTTAAATTAATATGAACAATTTCCACCGAATAATACAATTTTTTTAATGATTAAAATAGCCACAAAATAGCCAAGTTATCTCCTAACAATTACATTTATCTCTCACAAATAAAGGAAAAACTTAATAAATCAACTCGAAACTGTCACATTTACACTAATAAGCAACTTGATAACGAATAAAAATTCGAGATTGCCACAACAATTTCTTAATCTCACAATCCCAAGCAATACCTTATCATTAATTAACAATTAGGCGGCCGAATCCATTTCAAATGTTTTAATTTCAAAAACAACGTCCTGAATATTGATAAAGTTAAACGTAATCCAGTTCCTATTTTTCCTTAAGATAATCTCAATTAAACCACAAACCTAACTCTTTTTTCCAAACTTTTAAATTCGTGATCACGTTTTATAACCCTTTTTATTATCTAACAATGAAATAAACATTCAAAATACCTTTAATTTTCAATATTTCAAATACCTGTTATTATTAATAATCTCAGACGTTATTACAAGGAAGCTTTTTACTAAATTTAAATTAAATTTCCAAGAAAATGACGCAAAAGAAAATTACGTCCTAGTCAATAGGTCTTTATTTAAGTATAATATCATGAAATATGTGCAATAAATAAGCTAATAAATTGGCTCCTTTCTGCAAGAACACTTTATTAAATTGCAAAAGTGAAAAAGAATTTTTTATTTATCTTAATTTGTTTTAACAAACGGACTCAACCAAGAACAATTTAGATTTACAATGGTTATGTAGATACAAATGTTTGCCGAGTGATTCCGGATTCCTGTTTTGGCTGTATGTACAATGGAAAATTCTTTTCTATTATCAGATATCGGCTGGGTTGGAGCTGATTCTTCAACTACCTTTGAAATTGTAGACTTGTAGAATTTTGAAGATAACGAAACGTCGGAGGTTATTATAGTTTTTGCTGACCAAGAAAGTTTCTTTACTAGCACATAATTTAGTAAATATAGTCGAAACCACACAATTAACTTTACTGATTTTTTACAGAAAAGGGAAAGTTTTGTTTCAACACCCGATACTTAAATTCTTAGTAATGCGAAAATGTTCTTTAACAAGAACGATGCGTGTATTTCATAGTTTGTTGTCCGGAAATGTTCTCGTTACTTGATACGCGATAACGAAAGATTACTTATTTTTGCGAATACTAACTTCGGGTTAAGTTTTTTGTTCGATCCCCGGTCAAAACGATTTAACTTTTTTAAATGAGACCTTAAAATGTTAGTTACTTCTGATACCAGAACATTTTAAGGTCAAAGGCCAACACGCGAATGCCTAAGACCGTACCGGTCGCTTACAATGGCAAAAAGCGGTTGCTTCGAAGTTCTCCTCTTAGTTACTGACTATAATTTTGAGCGTTAGTGTCTATTCTACTACTAACACCAAACAGCTGTTAAAGATCCCACTCAATTCAGAACCTACAGCAAGTTCTACAGTACGAGTTTATCTCATGATGAGCAAAAAATGTAATACTATTTCTCCATTAAAAAAGACGGAATTTGCAGTTGCAACTACCGCCCTTTTTCCTGGTCCCTTATCAAAAGAGGGCGTTAAGGAGGAAGGAGGAGTGGAACTGGTTTCATACTTCATGGTACTCTAATGAAAAGTCTCAACGAAAGGAATTCATTTCTACCAACCATAGTCCTCCTCGACCCCTTATCGTGATCTGATCTATTCTCTTATATCTCCAGAACGGATTGTCGGAAGAGCGTACTCACAAAGGACGTCTGGAAGAAATATATCCATTTAACCGCAAAAGTCTTTCCCATAGGGCCCATGTAGGGGCTGTTGTACAAGTATGTTAACAAAATCTTGTTTCAAGAGTAAATATAGTTTATGTCTCTGCTCAAAAGAAACACAAGACGAAACAAGCTCCCATTCGCCACGGGAAGAGGATTGTTGGTGCAAGCAATTGGAATATTTCGAAAACCACATTTTGTCCTCGGTATGTTGTTCATGAATTTCAATCGGAATGCGGTTTCCGTCTATCCAAGAGAAAATTACGATAGATGGCAGGAGCGTAGTCAGGGGGACGGTTAGGGCTGTAGCCTAGCTCCTCCCACACGGACATAACTTTCTAAAGAGAGACGCTATCTTGAATCTCTTTATCATTCACCGTTTTTCACAACGTACGCACATCAGCCCCTTCTAAACCAAGTTCCTGGCTAGGCCACTGGATACAAATGAGTTTCCCAATCGTTACGGAAAAACCACAATAAATTTCAAATGAACTCGTGACCGATTCTTTCACCACAAAAACAGTTTACCACTCCTCGCAGAGAATTAACGGCGACACAGGCGATTGAAAAACCGTTACGGATAGCAATTTTCATTTACCATATTGGACAAAGCTTTGATCAAAATCGTCCAATAAATAAACCCCCAACAAGTATGCTGTGCGATATGTCATTTCCCCCTTCTGGTTTAGCCCTCAAACTTATTTGACTGAATAACTTGTCCGAGCTATTTGCTACCAAAGACAGATTCGAAAATTCGCGCAGAGGGTTGGGCGGACAGACAGAACACTGTTATTAATTTTTCTGCGAATACCCGATAGAGCCGCGTTTGTTACACTGGTTTTATTTTGAATGAAAATCGAATAATAAATGAAAGTATTACCAATGTTTCTGTGAACACAGTACATTTCACTAGGGAAACAGTTTACGACTGGTCATCGGAAAATCGTATAAACTTAATGTTCAGCAAAATAAATGTAGAGTTATTATACTGGGGCACCTTAAGTTGGAGACGCGGTTCATTAAAATATTTACACATATTACATACAATAATAATCTAAGCATTCCGATTCCACAGAGTCAATGTTGTTGAGATATGCTAATTCAATTCGCGTCCCTTGTATTACACCGAGTGTATATCACATCTAAATGCCAATTTATAGAGAGGTATGGTAGAATTCTCATTATTTTAGTACAATTTCGGTGACTTTGAGGCCTATTCTAGTGAACATAATTGAAGTTAAATTCGAAAATGCGTTCCTTTAGAAAATGCAATGCTCTTAGAAGTTTTAAAGTAATTTTGGCCGTAGATGTACCAAACCACAGCCCGGAACCGCAAATTAAGTCTTATTTAATACAAAAACGTTCTTCGCTCTTCTTTCGAAGTGAAAGAACAAGCGACGCTTCTTACTAGAGCTAAACACACAAACTTCAATTTATAAACGAGAATAGAACAAACAGTTGTGTTTTAAATTATCTGATGTGTAAAACCTAATTTACTAACGTTGAGTGAAAAGTAAAGAAACTCGTGTATTGTTAATGTGTGTTTAAATAACAGAAAGCGAGAAAAGTAACCTCGCTTAGATTTACAGTTTGAATTCGTGAAAATTTTCACCTCGTTTTTGTATAAAGTTACCATAAACATACATAAATAATCAATACAAACCTAAAAACGGCATCCATTTTTATTTCTTTCGCCCCTGGCTGTAGTAAAATGAACAAACCGACGTAAATATATGGTTTTTTTTTTCGTTAAATATACGTCTTCTAGGCCATCCCTTAGGCAAATAATTTGAAAGTGTTTGGCACACGGGGACTATAAACCACCTCATCCTATTTACGATCCTTTCGCTATTATTTTGTTGAAACTATATAAAAATGATCTTGTCACGTTTTATGGATATTTATTTTTAGACAAAGACAAAATGGGAAAGCTTGCCTACTGAAAGCCATTTGCGAGGTAACCCAACGTCCCGCAAATCACGTGGGAACTTTCATGGAGGAAATAATTAAAGCAATCTTCAAGTAAGTCGGTAATGCTTAGAATTACTCATGAAATTGATTGTTCCAGAATAAAGCAACACAAAAATAATGAGGGAGAAGACGAATATGACTCGGCTGCGGATGAAAAGCACAATTGCACGGAGAGATATTCAAGATGCACATCGTCTGTATGGGGGTTATTATAACTCCCCTTAAAGAGACTCTATTCTCGTTTTAAAGCAAACGGATGGTCAATTGAACTTCTTAGGAAGCCTTCCAGAAGTGAATTTATACAACAAATATTTTAATGACTTGGTAAACGTTATTATTGGTTTAGATCTCCATGTGTAACTATGTAGAATGTTAAACTTGTTGACATGTTGGTAATAATTTATTTCTCTGTGCCTGAAACTGTGTATTAATTTGAGATTTTAACGTAAATAATATGATTTAATTTAGAAGATGAATTGCTTTTATAAATTTTCGTTTGTAGCAGAAAATATAATTAATGGCGTCAATACATTTTGTACAATTTGTAAACGCAAGCCGTGAATCTAAAGCAACTTCATAATTTATTCAATGCCATTAATTTGGTTTAATTGGGGCCTCGCTGTAATGTGAACAATAATATCCTTTATACTTAACTTTCGTATTTCAGCAACACAAAAATATATGTGTAATGCGAAACCAGGAGACAGGTACTTATTATTGTTTCTACGGTCCTTCCCTGGCCTGCAGGCTGCAACGGGGTTTGAAAATAAAGATTTTACCATTTCTTAAACGTGTTGATTAAACAAGACCTTATAGTGAAAAAGATTACGGTGTTACCAGATTTGAATTTATCCACGGCTAGCTCGCTTTAATAATTGGTTCTGAGACCCTTAACTCAGCACCTTGATGAAAAAAAGTCACTCTTGAAATTAAACATAAGTTTGCTATATTTGTTTACACATTTATTACAAAATACTCTTGTTTGGTGTCAGCATTTAATTTTTGGACGATGCAGTCCTTTTCTATTGTTTCTACAGATTTCTGTGCGTATTGAACACAAACAAGCTATTTTCCAATAAGTGAAACGTCCATTTTAGGTTCGACGGGGCATCTTTTACTAAACTAATCTTTTTATCCCTCTGAGTTACGGTCTTAACCCCTTTGACTTTCAAGACAGAGCAATTTTCGACTTCAGCACTGAACGCGTCCTTCTCTCAACCTTTAAAATTCCAAGAACTACGACATCTTTAACCTTCCTTTGGTTTATAGGAGCTTTGACCCTTACATCTTTTTGTCAGTTTACATTATACCATAATGAAAAGCAATACGGCCATTAAAAGCAATAACGCCCGGATTTTTGTTAGTGTCTCATTACCTACAATGGTATGGACGCATACAATTACCGTAGTAACATATAAAATGGGCCAGTTATATTTTCCCATTAAACAAAACGTAAAGTTCATCAAACTACAAGTGAAAACACGAACGACTATGAAACAAGTTCGTCTCAAGATGTAAATTCCCAAGATAGCAATTACATTCTCTGGTCCAATAACGTCGCATTGAGCAGCATTTCCTTGAAATATATTGCAGAAGGGACTTTAAACGAGTTAAAACGGCATACGAACGTGGACTGTAGATTCGATAATAAGCCGAAGAATTTTTCATGAATCGAATATAACTTACACTTACGAAAACTGAGTAAGTACGTGAGTTTAAACACCGTCCATAATGTCAGAACTTATAGTTTCGTGCAATAGCAGCGGAAAACACGTTCTGCAACACTTCCACTATAATACTAAATCACTAAAGAAAATCGATATGGGGTAAAATAGTTTTGAAAAGTTCGTCGTTCTAAGGGAAATTTTATTAGCTGGCGATCTTAGAGTTTTTGCAAGGTACCTATGACTATAAAACCGATTTTATTTAAGCACTTCCCGTAGCACCGCAGAGCTTCAACTCAACTGCGACGTGCCTGAGAGAGAGGGAGACTTGCCAAATGACGAAGATGATTCAATTACAAAGAAGTCGTTTGTATTTTATCTACTTAAGAAGTAGACACTAACGGTTTGTAATCGTATGGTTTTTTTACTAGCTGAATCCTTTGAAATAGATATAAAATATTATAAAAAAGGTGAATTTTACAAACTTTTTGTATTTTTGTTGATTATAAAAGTAAAAGCATTATCCAAAATGCATAGTTTACAATTTCAAAGTTTCAAGGTCCTTATGTTTCAATTTGTCATGTTAATGTACCTATCTGATTTTTTTAGCGAGGTTTTATGATGATTAAACGAGGTAGGTAGTTCACAAACGCTTATCCTAGTAATTGTGGAAGTTATACTACTATCAATAAAACATTTATTTTGATGGACGGACGACCACACCTTAGCATTCAACTGCAATATGCAATCTATATAAAGACGCCGTTTAATAAAACACTCGAAATATAGGCCTACTATAATAATATCATTGATAGAAAATTTTCCTCTAATAATTTGCGTTACTAAACAAATCCAATCAAAAAATCAGTTTAGATTTACAATGGTTATGTAAAACAATTAGTCACAATACCTTTTTTGTTGAAGATTTTCGAAATGGATGTTTGCCCTTGGACCCTTAACGAACCATTGTTTTATTGCACAATGGAAAAATTATTATGATTATTAGATGTCAGGTGGATCAAGGACTGAGAATGCCAGTTGCCTTAAAATCGCCTTGAAATTGTCGCTTCCGGAGAAAATTTTGAAAATAACGAATCGTTGGTGACTGTTTTAATGTTCCACTGATCAGGAACTTTCATCAATTTGTACAACTTTTTAATTTTTTTTTCACAGAAAAATGAAAGTTTTTCTTTCTTCGCCGTACCCTTAAATTTTAAATAATGCAAAATTGTTATTTTATAACGCGTTATAATAGAAAAAGTGTTTGTGTTTCTGCATCGCATTTACATGATACGAACTTTGCATTGCATTTTTTAGTTCGATCTCGATAGTCCGGACTTTGACTAGAAATACTATATCCTCGTTAAGATAACCTCCTAATCAGGACAGGAATTTACCCAAGTGTTACGTCCTTTTGCACCAAACTAAATTAAAAAGGATGCAATTTTAGCTATACTCCCATTATCTTGACGCCTAAAGGAACCAAAACCTATACCTACACAATGACTAGCCTGAAGTTACATTCGCTTTTTTTTTAAGGACCAATTTTGGGATAGTACCAACCTGAATGGGAAACAAAAAATAACTAGAATCGGGATGAAGATACATTCGTTTTTTTTAAATCAACGGCTTTCGAAAGTGATGGCACCGGGACCAATTTTCATCCCCTTTTTGGAAAAGAGCACTAAAACTCGACAAATTCGCCTCCGAATTTGGCAAGTTGCGGAAGTGTGTGAGTAAGTGAGCTTTGCACGCGGAGGATTAGGACGCCGTGGTGGATCAAGGGCTCACCTAAAACCCTCTACCTATCGTTTTTCGAAAAGTGTCCCACAGTTCGAAAAATTCGCTTTTGTTTGGTCAATGGCGCGGTATACGAATAATGCAAGTTGCAATTCAAAATTAATTTATTAAAATTGAGTGAGTTTTTCACGCGGAGGATTAGGGCGCTCCTGGTGGCGCAAGGGTCACCTAAAACCGTCTACCTATCGTTTTTCCAAAAGTGCCCCACCCCACAGTTCGAAAAATTCGCTTTTTTTTTGCAAATTGCGATTTTAACACCATAGGTTTCCTCATCACCTTAGTGTGATATTTGTTTTCAAAATTCAAATGTCACACAGGAGGTGCTTGGTTCGATGCATTACTCCTATACAAGGTCTTTTTGTTGTGACGTAATCGACGGCAACAGAAAACAGTCAATCGATTCAAAGAGACTAAAGTAAAAGAAACAAAAGTGTACACCCTGTATTTAAATTGGGGGAGTTCGCCGAATACTTCGGGAGATTGTGGCTGATTTACCCTCCTCATACTATTCAAATGTTTATTAATTAGGTTGTATGTATTTGTTTAATAAATTGATATGCATAATCCCGGTAGCCATAAATGGTTGTACATGTACAATGTTGCATTTTACATCCATTTTTAACCTGGTGGTCTGGTTATGAGGAGAGTAATGGGTGCACTACCTTCCGAAGTAGGTAGCCCTATTCCAAATGGTAAGCTGTGGATTCCATACTGTTTGAGAGACCATCGAGTATTGGGGAATAATGCAAGTTTTGAAGTATAATGCAACCTTACCTACGGCTACCATAACACCTTCAATATTACATTCTGCGACTGAACTATAAAGATAGGCTACTTTTTGCAGAGGAAACAAGTAAAAATAAAGGAAGGGCTCACTAGTCTGTCGAGATCTTTCCGAGATATGTTCGGAACACATTGGTCATGTAACCATCTTAAACAAGTGGAACATTGGACCCATCGATTAAATCTTTGACTGTCCTCCAAACCACACATGTTAAACATCCATTGTAGTACATATTTTCCGAGTTCTTCAAAACGAGCTATTGCAAATTTATACGAAAAGATATTGTAATAATAATTGATACAATTACCCTAGCAATATTACCTAATGACCCTGTCATTATATCTCACATTAATTTATTTTGGACCTACAACCAGTCGTTGGAAACAGTTGATGACAAATAGTTGATCATGACGTTTCACCTAGGGGACAGCATAGTGCGGAGGATGCTCAGGAAAGTGAGTGATATCAGCTGTTTCAAAAATGAAGAAGGAAAGTGTGCGGAATTGTGTGTAGGTGATCAGACAATTGACCAGTTAAGGCGCCGCTTGAATTCTTCAGCTGCAAAAGGAAGCGTGTGGAGTATCCCCAGCTACGTGGCCACCGCTGTCATTATGATATGGACCAATTACGCTGCGAGGCGAGAGTTCCACGAAACGAAATTCAGAAGAATGCTGAAGTGGCTGATTAGGGACTTCAAGTGGATGAAACCGTCCATAAGAATCGTGTTGTGCAAAATTTCACCGAATAGACGCACAACCAGAAGTGGCCACAAAGTTGTCGCCATTAACGAAGGTATCACAGTTCTAGCTGAACAACAGGGTCTAGTTCTTACTGACTTAAACCGAGTTTTCCATCGGCCAGGAATTCATTGGTTTGAAACGAACGGAGTCCATCCCAACGTCTTGGGGTTGCGCGCCATGGAACGCGAAATAAGACGTGTCGTAAAGGATTAGCTGGCCCCCTTTTTAGGGCCACAAATCTAAATTTGTAAGATAATAAGAACCTCTGACCGAATGAAACGCTTGGTGTATTATTTTTCGAACTGTGGGGCACTTTTCGGAAAACGACAGATAGCGGGTTGTAGGTGAGCCCGTGGGCCACCACGGCGCCCTAATCCTCCGCGTGCAAAACTCACTCAATTTTAATAAATTAATTTTGAATTGTAACATGCATTATTCGTATACCGGACCATTGACCAAACAAAAGCGAATTTTTCGAACTGTGGGGCACTTTTCGAAAAACGACAGATAAAAGGGTTATAGGTGAGCCCTTGGGCCACCACGGCGCCCTAATCCTCTGCGTGCAAAACTCACTCACTCACACACTTGCGCGATTTGCCAACTTCGGAGGCGAATTTGTCGAGTTTTAGGGTTCTTTTCCAAAAAGGGTATGAAAATAGGTGCCGGTCGAGGTCGAAGGCCGTTGATTAAAAAAAAACGAATGTAACTTCAGCCAGGTCCTAGTTATTTTTTGTTTCCCCATTTAGGTTGGTACTATCCCAAAAGCATCTCTATATAGGGAACGCAAATTCCACAAAAGGAAAGAAGAAAACGAAGTTGCTCTCCTGAAGTGTAATAATTAGGGAAATATACACAAATTCCAGGCTATTCCCAAAGTCAACTATCATTGAAATCGGTAAAGGTTAAGCAATGATTAAAACGTAGACTAAATTTTACTTTCGGAAACGAGCTCCTCAGGAAATTAAGTTAATATGGATACAAAATGGCCAAAAGTCGTACGCTGATGGCAATAGTTTTGTGTTGTAGTTTCTCAGTTACAATTCATACCAGTTTTAATCTGTATTTTCATATCCTACCCTTACGGGCTAAATTACTACGTGGCCTGCCATTATGAGCAACGCTCATTATTAACACCCAGTCAAAATTGTAAAACTTATGAATTATGGAGGATGACAAAACCTCTTCCTTACAACACTACCAGAACTAGAGTAAATAAGCGCCATATTATTCATTACATGTCGGGGTTCATAGCTTTTAGTGTGATTGTGGTCCGTTTTGTAATTACTGTTGTGTATTCTGGCAATAAAACGAACACTTGAGTATAAGTATGACTGATGCATCAGCACATACGGCGAAAAAAGAAAATTGATTTGTCTTAGTTGTCTGAGAATGATATTAATAATGTTGGTTCTATCAATTTTCATTATTCCATTCGTATAAGTTTTATTTATAGTGACTTTCTGAGTCAGCCTTTTTAAAATATTACGTTACCCTTAGCAACGTTAGGTTTTTCTTAATAAGGGAGTAGGTACTATTTCAAATCCATGTAGTAATGATGTGATTTATAGCATGTATACGATAATTTTGAACTAAGCCATGATGATCAACGCTTGGGCATGCCATCGTTTCAGTCTAAATTACTCGTACAATGAAAATTTCCTTTGATCACATATTCGCGTAGGTATACGTATACGACGCGCGGGCTTGTAAAACCGGAGGGAAATTAAACAAAATGAAAACTTGGCTAGTAGAATATGCAATGGTGTTTGTACGTTTTATATTCTTACCCACGCATGGCCGGATGAAAAACCAAATTCGTATTGTTTTTTTGTTCATTTTAAGGTACAGTGTATTTTAATAAATAAAGTTCATTTAAATAATATTGAGATTCGGTCGTGAATCCTATTGAAGGAGAGTTGGCAGTCTGCCATAATGATTATCTTGGATAAGTAAATTCAGGGATGCTCAATTTCAATGAATCGATTAATCCACTTTTCTATAGTAAACGTTACTTCTTGTTTTTTGAAATTGATTTTAGCTTATGTAATTCATTATACTACTTAACCAAGCTATTAGGGGTTGGGGGGTTACGGCAATTTATTTTTAGAAGGTTGAAACGGTCTTCTTATATGGTGCATTATGATTCGGTCAATTATGAAAGCTAAGAAACGATAACGGCATGTAAGATGAATCGAAGTGATAATATACTTTCAAGGAGCACTTCATTAAAAGACTACGTTTACGCATATACTACCCTCAACGTGTTTACAGAGTGTTTCCACACTGTAGAGAACTGTTTTTAGTTATCCAGGTTTCATGTCAGCGGAGACGACCATCTCTAATGTGGAGTACAGAATCAAGGTAAATTTCGCAAATGTAACACAAAGTAGAGTGAAGTGGGACTATTATGAGGTCACCTTGAATTTTAGAAGCATTATGTCATAAAGCGATGATCTCAAATTTTGAGAACTAAAATTACCTGATATTATAACAATAAAACCCTGATTTACACTATACATATAAAAATGCAAGTAACATGTGCCACAGTACTTGGCCCGGTTTCTACGGCGCCGACTGTACACTGATTTCAAAAATTACGCAATCCCGAGCAATAAAAAAAGAGGAGAGATCGGTACATGCTTTCCAGAACTTTTTTTCAGGCGAGGTTTTTTAAGGGAAAGTAAGATTCGAAATGGAAAAAGAATAGTACGCAAAGCTACGTATGATATAATGTATATCTAGTTAGTGTAACAATTAAGTTAGTAAAAAGCGGATAGGAGGATAGGAGTTTCGCCAAATAACCTGGGGTCCAACATTTTTTGTTTGGGACCTATTCTCTCAAAGGTCTCAAAATTTGGATTTCTTCTTTAATATGCTTCTGAACAACCATTACACACAAAAAGATTAGGCTTTTTTACATCCCTCTCTGATTTTGCAAAAATGCCTACGCTAAAATGCCGCACTCCTGAACGGAAGTGCGAAAAAAGATGAAACTTGGTACATTAGTTTAGTTTAATTTTCAAAAATTAAAAAATCCAACCGCAATGCTTGGCACAATATCGAAAAAATCGAGAGGTATATTTCTAATTATTATGCTTCATAAACCACACTTCATAGGAAATATACTTCACTTTAATATTTCATGAATTTCTAGAAAAGCGGTATACTAAAAAAATGCCCCATTTGGATACATTCGATTTGCGCATGTGCGACCGATTTTGGTGGGGAGTATGAATATTCTTACTTTTTTATGAAAAGTCGTACACAAAAATATATTCTTCTTAAAAACGTTGTAACGGGAGTTAAGGATGGTACTGTTCTTTATTTATTTACTTATTGTTCCGGGGCCCTCAACAGGCTTTTTCCCAATTACAGAGGGACCCGCATAATACTTTTTTAGAGGTGCCCCTGAAGAACGTCTAAAGTTGTTCTATACTACTCCGGTACTTGCCTTACGAAATTAGGAAAACAGCAGGAAAGCCTATTTCTTGAATTTGACCTATTGCATCGTTACGATTAAAACTTTAAATGAGAGATCCTCAAATTGTCGAGAATCATGTAAATTGTTGTCTTTTTAATGTGTATTGTTAATATAAAAAACAAAACTAGGTTGCGTTTGGGGTGTAAATTATTAACAATGCTATTTCAAATCTTTGATCGATTATTTCATCCCCCCCCCTCCCTCCCCAAGAAAGTTTAAATCGGATTTATTCGCCCCAAAAAACTTACTTTTCAAACCTCTTTCTTGAAATATGTGTCTAAATCAAGTTTACGTGAGGAATCGGTACATACAAACTATTCTAAGGGCGAGTATTCTTGGTAAATTCCCTTTTCAGAATGTAAATGTTCCTTAGGACCAGGTCCATGTGGGCCGAGCTTTAATGGGACAACCAGTTATTAATTGTTACAAAAGTAATTTGGTAAATTGATTAAAGAAATATAAATTACACCCCGAAAATAACCTTTCACAGTTGTATTTCTGTCTTCCATATTTTTCAGCCGCATGATATTCAACGTCACTGTACTGGCTAATGCTCTCTTTCGTGGTGGATGGCCTGAAATATAAATTGAAGTGGAAACGAATGCGAAATTATACCTACGTCAATATAGTCTGCACCATTTCTGGCAATAAACCAGTTTTTTGATTCAAAGGAGCGAAAGATATCTCGCAAATTGCTCTTAACAAACAAGTTTTTCCATTTCCTTGATTAAATCTAAATATTTGAAAAATGACGTCGCTGTTACTTTACATCGTCGTACTCACCTATCCATGAAATTCCTTATTGCCGCATAAATTTCCCACCTGTTAGGAAACCGACTCTTACGATCTTCGATATTGATCGTAGGATTCGTAATATCATTACTGTTCGTCGGTAACAGATAATAACTTTTTACTGTCGCTCCTAACGTGACGGTCTCATCGCGGAGAGCAATTGGAAAACCAATACCCACAACCATCTAGAAAACCGGCTACAATTTGATCTAAAATGTCTAATTAGAAGGCCCACCTGAATCCAATTTACACCTTCCTGAAAAATAAGGAAGCGCTTCTGTCGAATGGAAAACGTTCGGCTGGTATCTCTCACTTTTCCACAGAAAACTAGCCCCAATATAACATAAATCGCAAAAAGGGGAATAAGTCTCATATTACCAGAGACGCAGAGCTCGTATTTCAACGTGCAAATAAATCTGAACTTACAGGCGATCGCAAAACCGATACTAATCAGTAAGTAAATACCCGGGATTGGATAGTTCATTTACCCTCTTTCCTTATTATTAACTTAGCAGTAATTTCCATTAGAACGAATCCTATAACGGCGTTTTTACAATATGAAATAATCAGCTCGCTAGATATAGGTAAACGAACCATCTGAGAAACGTCGTCAATCAATTATCACTTCACACTTCACTAATTCCTGGGCGTTAATTGTTAATTGGCGTTTATTACAAACTCTAAACGTAATTTGTATGTTAACTAACTTTATAAATGCAAATTTAAGGATATTCATGCGAAAAGTACGCAGGGAAAGCTTCTTATGGAGTAAACGCGCAAAAACTGCAGGATTTGTTTGGCTTCAAATTGGTATCACAAATATAATCGTTTTTGCCTGTTGTTTGCGTTCCCCTTGTTATAATCGTATGCATTTGCGATTCTATACAACACGTTTACGTGCGCAAGTTTTGGGTTTGTTTATCCCTTCTGAAACAACTTAAATACTTAAAATGAAAAAGCATAATGTACAAGTGTAATATTAGTAGAGACTGTTTTAGTTTAGGATTTTGTTGTTCTCTTGATTAATTTCAGATAGAATAATTAAAATAGGTATTCCGTTGATCCATGTTTTCATTAAAATTGCTATGCATCTGAAAAAATAATTGAAGATACTCTCCACTATGATGACGCCTTTCTTAAATGATTAATTCCAGCAAAAAAGTTACAATGTGTGCCAAAAAAATGTAAAATTAAATTATTGCTAATAGAGAGAAGTATCAATCCAATGTAGGGCTCATTATACATATAATAAAATGCGCATCAATGGGTTCGCTGTAGTAGCATGATTGGAAAGATAGAACATAGAATAAATCTTATTACAAGGAAACCAAAATTGTCTATAAAATTGATGCTCCCATGATTGCCACATATAAACATTTTTAAGGGCGCAAAAGAAATGTGGATAATTTCTGAATACTAAAACAAACCTAAAAAAGTTTTTTTTTATTATAAGCTGACAAACACATAAAGATCGAGAATTTGTTTGTTTCTTCGGGAATATTAAATTGCCATGTTTTTTGGCGGTTTCTCATTCCTTCTCCTTTGAGGATCCCTATATAAGGATATCGCTTTATTTTATGAATAAAATATTCGCAGAAGTGCGCCTAAATAAATGCGCTATCATTGCAAACGTTCGATTCGATACCAATGTTTACGGGCGTCTTTGTGCTATCTTTTTGCAATAGAACAATATACCAATAATATAAAAATCACTAGTAGTATAAGCTGTAAGCTACTCACTAGTCGCGAAGAGAAAATTTCGTAAGCAAGTGGTTCATTTCAGAAATGGAAATATATCGTTGGACATATTTTAAATTATGGGATTTATGGTCCCTTTAACGCACATTAAGCGTTTAATGCGACATGTCATGTGACAAAAACTTCAAACTATGCTGCGATTGAAAAATGGAACAGATTTGGCTGCATACCCTAAATTAGACGCCGTTTGTGAAAGCATCAAACAAAGGATAGGTACAAGCCAAAGAAATCTTCTACATTTGCAGAAATTGACCTGAGAGGATTTTTTATTTCAGTCCCAAATGACAGTTTCATAAGTTATACTTAATTTGAAGTAACATTACATAGCAACTGTGGGAATTCTTTATATTTAACACTCCCAACGCTAAATAACGATTTAAAACTGCTAATAAACTTTTATTTTAATAACTTGACAACTTTCATTCTAATCGATTTTTTCCCCTATTATTTCGTCGTCCTGGAAACAAGAATCATTAGTAGCGGACTACCTGGTCGCCACACAACCTTTAAAGCACTTGTGTTTTAAAGGTCCGATTTCGCACGCATTTGTTTGTTCAAAATGGAGAAAAATATTACTGTGACCCTAAATCCTCTATGACTCGTAAGGAACATGTATTCAACGCTCGTGAACTTTCCACTCGCGAGGAATCTTATATGGACACCCACGGCCCGCGGGTGCAGTTCTTTTTGCAGAGATATCGCCAGGTCTTTTCAAGAATTTTCGTCGCTATATATACCGGGTGGGGCAATAAAACGACACGTGTTTTGAGATTAAGCAAAGTTTTTAAGCCATATACTACAACAAATCTTAAGAGCATAAATGAAAATATCGATACAAGCTCAATATAGGGAAGCAAAGCCAAAAATAGGTATAGACCAAAAAGAAATAGATGATTATTGATTTTTTAAACATACGTTTTATTTCGATATTCACCTGTGGCCCGTGGCGCATATGAAAAATTTTATTTTCCCTTGGAAAAAAGTTTGCCCATGCCTTAAGTGAGTATTCCTTACTCATTGTAGAATATACTATACCGGTGCCCTTCCGTAGACTTACCAAGTCTCAGGACGAAACGGAAGTCATATTCGATTCAAATGTTTCAATCATACTCGTATACCAAATGATGGTAAAGAGGTAGTATTCTCAACTTCTAAACTGATGGTTAAGGAATTCCTTAAGAAAACCCTTTCTACTCTGTTGAGTAATTCCTTAATATTAATATAACTACCTTAATTAATTAGATCTATTTGTCTTTAATATATTGATGGTTTGTTGTTTTGACTAGTGCAACTATTTTTACTTCACAAAGCACGAAATTTAAAAAAAATGATATGAAAAGTACCAAATCCAAATAACTGACTTTTTGCATACTCTGTATAGTAAACATAAATCGTTATTATCAAAATTTCAGGGTAGCTGGTAGCTGGGTACTGTTGATCTCTGGAACGCTAATGTTGAATGGAATAATCTAAAATGACATTCAGCATGTACAGGATGTTCACTGAAAATTGTTCTTGGTTCCTGAATTTTGTTCAGTGGAGTACCTTCTACCGATATAAGGAAAAATTTAAACCTGAAAGATGCTTGATCTTTTTCACGGTCTTAGCGCGGGTGTCTCGCTACAACAAAGACGGTCATAACCTGACACTACCTGGGCCAACGTATTAGAATACAAGTACATCCACAGGATTTACGTAGTATTTTTAATTAGACAATTAGTTTTGTTTCATCCAATATCAGTCCATTTTTCCCATTGTGCGTTCATACTGGCCCCCTACGAAGCTATACTTCGCTGCTGTCACCCATCATGTTAACAGCATAATAGGGTACATGACCGTGGAAAAAGAATAAATAAATTTTTGTTTCATAAGATAGTGTAAGGTGTCAGGGTATCGCAAAATAACTTTCTTTGGTCATGTACACGAGAAACTATTATATTTGAGTAAAACTAAAATTAAAAAATAACGACATTTGTCACGTGATATCAAACGCCAATCAGAGCGCGTGACGTCATTATCCTAAACCTCTGTGCGTTTGTAGAGTTTGTCTACGTTTTTAAATTTAGTGCTTGTTCCATTTTATGGTGATTATATTATCCTAAAGTTTAGTTTTTAAAACCAGATAAGAATGGAAAGTGGGTATACGGAAGCTGATAGCAGCAAATCTGCCAAACATTGATGAAATGATGTTGGGAATATTTCTTATGCATCAAACACAGATTTTTGTTCATCAGAAAACTGCCATAAGTCTTGTAGGTTTTTAAGTCAAACTTAGATTTTTTACAAGAAATGTAGTTATTTAAGAGGAATGTGTACTTAAGGTGCTTTGTTTTTAGGTCATCGAAGCTATCATATGGAGATGATTCAGTAAGCTATGTCCACTTTAAGAGTTTTCTGTTACGAACATTTTGTAGATAAAGGTCTAAATTTATAAAGTAGTTCTTAAAACAAATTTTTTTGGAAAAACAGTTTTTATGGCGGGCACTCTTACAGAACCTTACATTGGGTGCAGTCGAACAGAAGACTTTGGCAACTTATTCACAGTAAAGTCAAAATTTGCCCGCAACATACGGTTCACGCAAAGCTATAATATGCAGTTTCCTTAGTTGTCGACGAAGAAAACAATTATTTTCTTTGCGCTACCATCAAGCTACTTTTACAACCCCTCAGAGTCCAAAGGAGTACTAGTGTCGATAAAGTCTCCTTTATCACGTTTAACAAGTCATGATCTAGTCCGATTATTCGAAACTCTATCGGCAAATGGCTCAATCGGATTCGGAATTTGTCCAAATTGTCGTCTACCGCACGCCTCAGGAGTTAACGTACGTGAAAAATGTGCTACTCATGTCAATGTAGTTTTCTATATTACGTTTAATGAGCAATCGTCGAAAACCCTTTTGGATTTCTCTACACCATGAAGCATTTGAATGATACAGCATCCTTGGAACCAGATTTACCCGCCTGGGAAACTTAGCTGTGCCACAGAAAAATGTGACTACTGAGCCCCTACACCACGACAAAGTGTACTCCATGGTAGGGCACCACTTACGGTAGTTATAATTCATCACGAAATCTTTTAAACTATTTACGCGGGGGTTATGTGTTTATAATTGTCAGGACTGTGACGTCACAGACACCGCCATGACACAAAACAGCGGTTTGGCGCTAGAATAAAAATCTACAATTTAAATTGCATAAATTTGCAATAATATGATTTATTTTGCTGAAATATATTTTAAAGTTATAGTAGAGGTATACGAACAGTTATAACTGGTTTTAAAAAATTTGTCATCTACCCTATTCTTTTTGTGTATACAATCTTTTCTCTTTTCCCGCTTTTAAACTTAAAACTCCAATGAAAAATACGTACACGTGAGTAGAAACCCAGTATATTTGCCATACTTTTCTTATGACATTGTCTCCGACTTTCAGAAAAAGTATTGGATTTCGATAGGAAACAGAATCCTTTCAGAGACAACCATTCGCAATCAATAGGCGCATAAGGTACTTCAATTAATTTAATATTCGGTTACAGAAATCGTAGTGTGCGGCTGCAGGTGGGGAGTGGACGCGTTTAATCTTAATTTGACTAAATTCCTCCTAACTTGAAATTGTGCTTATTTGAAGCCTTATACGGTCTCTGCATAAAATATGTATGTGCCGCTAATAATTGAGAGGCATAAATAATTAATTAAAGATTGAAGAAGTGCACATTAGCCAATAGTGCCAATAGTTAATATAAACGAAAACGTTTAAGAATAATCCGTTTAAGAAAACCTTTGCGAACGAGTGGTTTTAGTTACAAGTTCATTTCTTTTAATTTACGCAAACATCGTCAACTCTATTATGGCAATCATCAGCAGTGACCAAAGTAACGTGTTTTACATTACTCCGCGTTGTTAATAAATTGTGAATACTTCCGTCCCTCTCTAAATAAAACGTCGCGCAGGCACATTTCACCAACAAATGTGCACAGTGAACATTTTGCAAAGTGCGGGTCTAGGTTTAGTGACTTTGTAGACTGATACGAATGCGTCCATAGAACACTAAAACCAAAACAGACATTTTTGTGAGAAAAGCTCGTTCTATTTTGTTCCAGTTGCCACCGGGTTAGGTACTCTAATTGACGTTACTTAACTGGACATAGTATATGGCCTCCTTTGTCGTAGAATACGCGAGGTGTCTCCAGATATAGTCACGATTTTTATGGAACTTACTGAGCGTACGTCATTGTCTACTACATTAACTGTTATTGATGTGGTACGTCCGGATATATTACAAACAATTGCCCCAAATCTAAGCCCTAAGGTACTGCTGAGTTTATTTGTAATGCTTTAATGACAACGAACCAGCTACTCGCCCCTCGAATCGCCCTCTTGTGCCTGTAACTATCCATGGACACATCGCTTATGCTTTTATTGACACAGTCCCTAAATGTAGTATTGCCGGTTCAAGTCTTTCAAAATTATTTCTGCAAGACTGCATTCCATATACAGAAGACCACCTTCTAATGGCACAATAGTCCATTGCTGTACCACCATACAAGATGTCGGAACCCAAAAAAACAACTATTACCTGAAGAATAATATTGGATAAATTACTTGAGACAAATTAAGATAAATAAATTAAATGAAGATTTTTCTAATTGTCTCGAAATCGAATCGATCGATTTAAAAAAATCAAACGTCAAAATAAAGGACTTCGAAAGAACTTTCAAACAAGCTATTACTCGATACCACTTGTCATTTAAAATTTTTAAGGGAATGACCCTGGGAGGCAAAGGGTGAAAGTGAGTGAAGTACTTTTTAGTTAAAAAGTTGTCTCCCTTGACAAATCTTTTACCGTGTTTCAGCGTTTTTTTCATTTAAGCAGTGGTTTTCGATAAATCCGTGGTGGGAAGTTTTCAAATGAACACCCTGTATATAAAATATTAATAAATAGAATATAAACAACACAGCAATTTGCCAAATTTGTTTTCCCATATACTATACGTCGAGCATAGCTCGCCGTATTTGTTGCCTGAAATGTAAATGATTAATTGCAATCATAATAACGAACCTCGTATGTCACAGCGCTACCGACTTTAACGGTTTAGCTGTCAATTTCAGTTGGTAGCTTGTTAAAGTACCTAACAATCGTTCAAGTCCTACTTCATTAAGTGACGTTCACAATTGAGTAACAAAAAGAAAAAAAGTTTAGCGTATGATTAAAGTTAAAAGCCTTACAATAGCATTTATTATAACTTTTTGCTTAGAATTACAATGTTTAAAACAATAAAATATGTATATCTTGGTCCTATGCAGTCCCTCGCTTGGTTGAGATTAAAGATTGTCATTATTCGGTATGTTTGAACATTACTGTAATTTTGAGATAAGAGTTATCCCCTGAAGAGAATGAAGTAAATTATGGAGGGTAAATACAGAGAATGGTACTTGACACAATTTCACGCGCGAACAAATATAAAAAGCTTTTGTGCTTTCAAGGTTGATTTAATCTACGAAAGTAAAATTGAATAATCTGTTTTCTTGCATAATGGTGCTGTGTACCTACCTTTTTCTGTGTACTAAACAGACCCTGATTAAGCGATCGATTTCCCTATATTAAAGTTTGGTTTGGCAAATATGCACAATCATCAATATCACTTTGGCACTGATTGAGAACTGCTTGAAAGAAATCAACATCAACACCTTGTGATCTGAAACACATTTAATTAATAAGGAGTGAAAGAACGTAGGCTTACCTTGATATAATTTTGCCAATTTCACAAAATATCCCGCACCTTTGTGAAGCGCCAACACTCCTAATGAAATGACAAACGTATTTTAGAACGCACGAGTAACCGTAGCTGCAACAAAGGAAAAATAATTACAGAAACTGATTAAGATCATATTTTTTGGTTGGGGCGCCATAACTTCGATGTACAAAAAAGATTCTGCTAAATGATAATTAACTTTGAAGAAGGGCTAGTAATTGGATAAAATGAATCACTCTACGTTATTAATGATACCGACGGAAAAACTGAATTATATATCAAAATTATTTGACGGAAAACTACTTACGATCTGAAAAGTTTGTAGAAGCTTATATGTGTGAAAAAATATACTTCTTTCTGAGGAATGTTACTGAAATTGTGTTAGCTATATAAAGAAAGCTAAAAGCAAAAACACATTATGAATGCTTTTTTTCTCTGATAGGCCATGTTATAACTTGATGTCTTTCAAGTTTTGGGTGCGCTAATTACAGATTAACTAGTGTAATTCAAATTCAAATATAATGACAAACGCAAAACTATAAAAGAAGTAAAAAATTGCTATAAATACAATTCGAACTAGTTTAATTATAGCTAATTTGCACATAGGTATAGGTATCTGGTATAGTAATTAAGGTTGACCTTTCCCGTTAGTGTTTTTTTGCTACATTTCGTACATTTAACTACCTATAGTCTGTCCCAAAATTAGAGAGAGCCGACATAAGACTATATACGCATTTCGTACGAGATAAATATCAAATTACTTCAAATTAGCTGACTATAAATTATAAGTGAGGGCTGATGGACTAGTTTTCACCAGTTTTGATATTAAAGACATAGTTGACAGTCTGTTCTCTATTCCGTCCCATGCGTTAGTCGCGAAGTTTGCGGTAAATCCGTTTCGGTTATTCTACGGGGCTACAGTAAAAATAAAAAAAAAGGTTGACAACAAACTGTCAGTTTGCCTAGTCGTTGTTTCAGAGGTTCTCCTGGGTAACATAAGTACCTAAGAAGTAAGAAAAACGGGGATAGACACTAAGCAATAAGAAATTGTTCGCAATTATTCGTTGTTATGTTAATAATAATAATAATTTTTATTCGTCCCTAGTCAGTAAATAAAAATAACAAAAGAAATAGAGCATACAAATTCGAATTGGTTTATAATCTGTCATCTAAATTATTAAGGGAATTAAGGGACTTATTTCTATTAGCATTTTTGTCACCACGTTTTTAAAATGTGAAGCTGATAGAATGCTTTTAATGTTTCTAGGCAATTTATTGTACACTTTTATAGGCATAACATAACAATTTTTTGCCGACAAGGTGTTGATGAATAAAGCAGTTACATACAGTTTTGCGAATTTTTTGATCTGTGATTCTGTGAAGAACTGTGAACTGTGAAGAACGAACAGTCAAGAAAAATTACAGCACTTTTAAGATAGTAAGACTATACGCTAAATTTTCAATTACCAATAAAGTTTCTATTTTATTGTAGTATTATTTTAAAATTTTAATTTTTTTATTTTATTTTATTTTATTTGCCTTTATTTTGAGTGGGCGGGGTTTCAGCCAAAGCTGCTCTACCGACGCAACCCACTATACATTTACAAATATCCATGCTCGAACCCGGATTCGAACCAGGGACCTTTAGCACCACAGTTCAGCTTTAACTGAACTGCGCCATACGGGCCTGCTACTGGGAAAGTTAATTTTTGAACATTTTTCTGAACCTAGAAATATGTCTTTAAAAGTTTTACTGAAAATTTTCTGGATTTTTTTCTTATTTGATCCTAACTTGAGAATTTTTTTTATTAACCGAATACATCCCGGTAGAATTTTTTTAAATTTTAATTTCCCGCTTATAAATAAATAGACAGAACTAATGATGATACCTTAATTAGAAGAATATGTACAAAAGGTGTGGTGATATAGCGAACTGTTTACGTACAATTCCATTGTTCAGAAATTAGACTTTTTTTAAATTTAATTACTTATTCTTTATATGCTACGATTGAGGATTACAGAGTGGCCATTATGTATGGAATATATAGTATATATCTCTGTAAATATTGACGGTATACAAACTTTATCTATATGAAAGTTTTTTATTTCGCATAATAAGGCAGCATTTCATTGGGTTTATTTCAGAAAACAAATTAATAACGAAAAACAATTGAATTTTTTTTCAAATATCAATGCACACTTTCATTGGGTTCATTTGATAGAGATTTTCTGTTTACACGTTCATTTGTTTTTTATTTTGACATAGGATATCTGGATTAATGTTATTGATATAATTATAATCATTTTTTTTTTAAATTTTCTTGAATATGGGTACTAACAAATGATATAATCGAAAAGAGAAAACAAATCTCTATCAAATGAGCCTAATGAAAAGGTGCACTGCCATTTAAAAAAATTCAATTGTTTTTCATTACTCATTTGTTTTCTGTAATGAAAACAACTAAAGGCTACCTTATGATGGGAAAAAAATGTTAAACAACTTTCATATACAAAAATTTTGTATACATTCCATATTTACCGAGATATAGTAGGTATATTCCATACATGATGATTGCGTAATGTATGTATGTACTTACTTATGTATCACCATCATACTATAATACATAATAAGAATTTCGTATATATCTAAGTACTCATGTATTACTGTTTAATATGTACAACTTCAAATACCTACTTATACAGTGCGTTCGAGATAAGAGGTCACCTTAATATCTCTTTGATTTGGCGAGATACGAAAAATTTATGAAATATAGCATGGCGCATTGCATTGCACTTGAAAAACAAAAGTTGCCTAAGATTACCGGTTAAACCGGAAGTGATACCGGATGTTTGAATATGCGATCAGATAGATCGTAATGTCACATATGAAATTATATTTGACAAATTTTTGATATCTCGCCAAATCGAAAAGATATTGAGGCGACCCTCTTATCTCGAACGCACTGTATAGCTCTCCAATATGCCTGTCTTTGAAATCCATTACGGTCGTATTTTTTGTATGCATGTTCGTCTTTCGAAAATGCCTCAACTCATTTTAAACGACAACTGCCATAAAATGTTTTTTCCAAATCTTGAACAAGCTCCATCCATGTGTAAATTACACTATGCTTTCATCAAAGCAACTTTCTTTATGGGGCGCGATTCTCACCTTCATTAACAATTACAATACTTGATTAAGGTAGCAGACTCGTCTGCCAGTTTGGAGCCCACTAAAATCTGAAATTATTAATTAATGATTAACTAACAAATCTGTTACGAATTGCAGAAAGAACGTATTAAATGTCATTTATGCGAAACTGTATTCCACATCCAATAGACATGTGTAAGTTTCAGAATTTAATGTCACCAACACGACAAAAGAACAATAAAGCACTTGTTCTTTCCCTGTCCTTACCACATCTCTTTGTCTTAGCAGCTTGCCGTTGAAATTTGTACCACTTCGATCCGAAAGAGTATTATCAAAATTCGTTCGGGGAAATTACTTTGCATTTTCGTGTCAGCTGTTACATAGCGCGCGTTTTCCGTGTAACTTAAGGTGCCATGCCATACTAATATGAAAATACGACATATGTTTAGGAAAACGCTTTGATTTATATAACAAATATTCGACTTTACGAGTTTTCCAAACCTGAACTCGCGGCTTTCTCAATTCGCAGTTTGATTTAATTTTATGGTGTTTAATTCAATATGTAAGTGACATGTTTGTATGAGTGTCCGAAAGATGACAATACCGATTTCGAACATGAAAGTGTTGTCATTTGTCAAACGTTACAACGTGTCGAGGTTATAAATGGAAATGATCGAACAGGTTTTTCCTAAGAGTCTTCGAACTAGCTACACTTTGAATTTATTGAAAACGTATTTCACGGTTCAAAGCGCATTATTAAATTTTCGATGTGAAATTGGTATGTAATTTACTTCATTGTCTAGAACAATGATGTAAAGGTATTGATTCGAATTACAAAAAGTCCCTTTCCCGCATTCCACAAAAATTTCCACGCTGAGATTACCCAAATAGTTTACCTGGTCCGTTGTGAATTCCTCATAAAATTGAAATTCTCTAGCTATAACGGCCATATTACTTCGGGCTGTATCCCAAGGTATCATTCACTATAAATCAAGTATTGATTCCTCAACAGATTCACACGTGCCTCGCGTGTAAAAGAAAGAGTAATGCGGATATTGTAAGGGATGCCTCGAATAATACCTTTTAGTAATTCGCTTCTATGTATATCGAAAAAAAATACTTAATCTACATTTGGCTGTTTAGTGGAGAAAGTATATACCGATGAAGTAGTAAGTTAGTGATGAAAAACGCTTTTCAATTCCGCTAACTCCAAATATGAAAGGAGGAATATTGGTGAAAGCGTTCTTTGTGTACAAGGCTTAAACTTTTATACTTACTGACAACGACTTTTTCAACAACTTTTAAGTTATACTTCATCTCTTTAGCTGCTGAATTTTCTAGAATTGTTGCTGCATCACAAAAAAGGTCTGGCATCTTGAAATAGTAATTTTCCGCCCTTATACCCTCATCAGAAGTCGGTGATCAACGAAAGGAAAGTGCAAAATTAGAAAACGTCGAAGGAGGGACTTATTTTAGCCAACAAAACGTAATAAACCATTGAAAAATCCGAAAACACTCGATAGGAGAAAAGAAACATTATATTTACGCAGAAAGAACGTTTAAATATGGTTTAAATATGGTTACAGTAGAAAATAATAGGATATTATATCTTTTTCGCCCACTTCTTGTTGAGTGTTCTAAAAAGAATTAGGAAAACTTTCTTTATTGCAGTTGAAGAAGATATAATGCTTCATATATTTTCAATGCAATAATTATAGGTAGTCAGGGCAACGGTACTTACACTAAAGCCCCACTATTGGGTGCCATTTTCTAACGGACCCTACGTTGCCACTAATTTGTTGGCCATTTCTTTGGTTTTTTTAATTAAACGGGAACTTGCAACCAGAAGACTGTCATAAAAACTATATTAAAATACCTTCGATTAGCACTTATACCTTGCCTCCCTTTTACTCTCTTTGCTTTCGCGAGAAACCTCTCTTTCTTTTATCTAAAAATTGGTACAAATGAATTCTTTGATTTCGTCCTGTCTAGCAAAACGAGTAGCAAAATAATAACACAGAAATATGCAAAGTTACTGTATAATAATAAAATTCAGAAAATGTTAAGAGTTGTTTAAGATTAAGCATTTACCTTTTTACATTAATTTTTCATTGGTTAAAAGTCTACCTTCACAATTGGAGACAATTAAAATTTACTTCGAAATTACCATCTTTTTTCTTACCTTAATAGTTTGAAATTGAATTTCGGCTAATTTACATAAATACCTATAAACTTTAAGCAAACCTTAACTTTGATTTTATGGTGACAAATTAGGTAATAAATAACCCTTGAACTTGGTTTCAATCAGTGAAATTTAAGGAATATCTCTGATTCCGAAAAAGACACTGACACCAAATTCATTTCATTTTCAATTCATTTTTAATAACAACACACATTAAAGAAACAAAATTGTACACTTTTGTCGACCCCTTCAAGATCTGTTGTATATTGACAAAATGCATAAATACGACTAACCTTTATTTACAATTTTTTTGATGTGGAAGTTCTGGAATTCTAAGAGATCGTTTCAAAGGGGCGCATACTTAAACCCGCCCACTTGAAACACCTCTCGGAGCCTACTCTTCAGATTGAACTTTGAAAATTGATAAGGTAAAACAGGTCTGCTCTCAATGTTAGTCCTTTTGCTGATCGATATAATTTAGTCCAAAGGTGTGTTGTGTATACACACTCAGATTAACTGGGTTTTATTAGGTTTAAATAATTAAATTAAATTTGAGGAAATCTCTAATGTAAGTTTTTCCTTGCCTTTTACATTAGCGGCACTAATAATGTTATCATTTGATTTCACGGACAGTTTGCTTTGTCGTAATTTCCGTGAGTAAGTGAATTAATTTCCCCTCCTTTTTTTCCTGTACGGTCAAGTTTTCCCAAGGATTCGCTCATAACCACGTTTGTTGACAATAGCGGACTGTGCCCTTTATGGAATATGGAAACTACACTATTAGGAGTTTTTTCAACTCCCACACTGGAGTACGTTATCCCTTGGTATAGTTTTATAACAAACTTTAATTTCTTGTAAAGTGGGACTTCTGTGCTAACTATCGATCACAACTTATACACTCATTTAACGATGAGTATTGCGAAACCACAATGGCACTTGGACTTTTTCACCACGTAATTTTTTCCACTTGAGCAACAAATGATGATTTAAAAAAAAATGGCTAATCCGGTTAATCAAAACGCTAATCTAATTGACGTTCTTCTGACCAGGTCGACTACGTTCACCTTGACACCAAAACGAGTATACATAAACTTGTGCAATACTCCCCTCTCTGGACACTAACTAATTTTCCATGCCTACTCAATGGTGGATTAGTAATGGCGGCGATATGTTATTAATTTACATTGGTTCATTGGACTTTCGGGGCTACCTACTGAGTTTCGGAATTTTGTCAAATCAGCTTATTTTTTCCCAGCTGCTCTTAGTTTGCGAAATTGCAGAAGTAACCTAAAACGACCTATTTCCAGCGTGTAATTCAATACTAAAGCCAGACAATGGGGCGACGGATGCAATTTAAAAGAAATAATTCATTGACGAACGTGTGAGAAGATGACTAAAGCTCGCCGTATTACAATCGACAAAGTAAGTAGTATTTGTTTGGTAGAATGTCGCTGAAATCTTGACCGTTTTTTAAATTTAGAAATTTTCTTCCACATAATTCAAAGGGAAAATCGCAAAACATGTAACGCCAAAAAATGCTTTGGTTACATTGGTAAATGGTAAGATCTTTTGTTTCAACCAAGAGAGGAAACCGTGAGGCGAAAAGAATTTGTAAGATTTTTAAACCAGCTAAAAATTCCAATTTGGTAACGAGGTTTCCGATCACTAATCCTATCTTTTAACAAATTATGCGCTGGTAGGAAGGTCTTATGTATTATTGATGTCAGAAATAATTAGTATTTTTTAAAATTTGGTTTGAACCAGTGGTGATTGAATTGGCAATGAAAGCCAAAAAATAAAGAAAGCCTTTTTGACATCTTATACCCAGGAACTCGTTTATTATATTTGTTTAATTTATTGTACGGGGTATGTTCCGTTCTCAGACTAGAATTCGTTCCTTTAGTTATTCCTTTAAAAGTTCCTTCAAAAACCTAGCACGCTCTGTATATAACTATTTCTCCTGACCCCTGTATAGATTCCCACTTGCTGTATACAGACTTGAGCAAGTACACGAAGGAGGCAAGCCGAGCAGGTTTGAGCATGCAAGTATGGACGTCCATCCGAGGCAGAACGAGCTTTTAAGGGGTGTCGTACCTCAGTTTGGAAGCGTTTTCGGACAATTCTTTATAGGGACCATTTTTCTTGTTTTGGGCTCTAGAACACGCCCTTGACTTTCTGCTGGACATTAATGAACCACGCTGTACATTCATTTCCTACAAAATAATTTCCAAGACCAAAGACAATCTCTAAAATTTGGGACTGAACTCTTAGTTTTCCTTAGTCATTACATCCAACTCAAGATGGTGGCGTTTAGCTGCAACTTAGAATATTAGAAAACCTCATAACTTGTTTCATGAAGTATTCTTAAAAAGTTCTAGCACACGAAATGTTCAAATCAATCAATGCAACACTCTTTCGGCCACGCAGTATAAACCATATAAAAGTGTTGCAGTCGTATTTTAGCGAGAAGGCCTATTTATACAAATTGTACTTTGATTTATAGAACAAAAAATACTAAAAAGAGCTAAACTCTTCGTAAGTGTGAACCAGAATCGGTAGATAAGTCACTTTCATGAGTAGGAGGTCTCTGCTCACTGCTCGCAATAGAATTTATGGTAGAACATTATTTAACAGAAAAATGGCGACAACTGACAAACGAGTGCGGTTTTTTTTACCGCTTGGGCTCTTTTCGAATTGGAATTACTCCTGAAAATGTTGCGCGAAAAATCGAAACAGTTATAATCAGATCAGCCATTAAACTAGTGGATTCAAGTGACGAGTACTTGGTATTTTTCATCAGCCTCTTTGAATACCTACCACGATATATTGATTAAATGCCGTTTTAAGTTAATGAATCCTTCAATTTACGAGGAGCTGGTTATCCAGACCGCGGCGTTAAATTTAAATGAGAGATACACTTGCGGTGTACCGGGAATATTTAGTTAATTTAAAATTATTACAAATTTTCTCTTTTTCGGCAAGTGAATAACGTGAATATTAATTTTTTATGCAAAGTTATGCTAAAAGCGAAAGTCGATAGTAGACCTCGAAGTTTTATAAATTCCATCAAGATTAAAGTTGGTTCTACATTAAAGCCGATATATTGAAGGCAAATGAATATAAAGACTTTACTCACACTTTTTTGAAATCGACAGATGCGTTAGCGATTTCCCTTTTAAAGAATGTATGCCTCCTATGCAAAGTTTCCGGCAACTCCCAATTAACTCTAAAAGCCCATCCTTGCGCGAATATCTGAACCCAAGGAATAACGTTAGCTTTCCCGTTCAGCCTCAACTGCAATTGGAATTTTGATGTTATCGATTATTTTCTAAGGGAAGCGTACAAAAAATTTACTGTTCTTTGTGAACAATACTTTTCGTTTAACTCTAATGTGGGCATCGCAATCAAGCGCAATTGCAATTAGTAGAAACATCACAATCATTATTTTCTTCATTTCATTACGATTTTTAGTATACACTAGCATACTTGGGCTTTTTACTGTAATGCAAATAAGTATCTTGTTGTTATTTTCAGTTATGAGATTTAATTGGTGATAATTACATCCAAGTGCCGTAACTGAAACAGTTACATTGAGTACACCATGTTAATTTCGCGTTGTATACTTCTATCGATTTGTTTTTATTTTTGTTACACTCAAGTAACTACAAAGAAGAATCCTCTATTGTCTAGAAAACGACGCTACTTGTTATTTCCGGAAGGCAGTAACTTCGTGGTAAGCCTTTTAATTGGATTAACTTGATTCGAATCGATGATCGTTTATTAACAGGAAAGGGACACTTCCCCTAACTATTTAACGTGGATTTTCCAGTTATTTAAACGAGTTTCCTTTCGCAGGGGACGGATTGCAGTGCGGTAAAATCCTATTAAATCGCCGGTTTTCATCATCTACGATAGACGTATTCCGTTTATGTCATTTAATCGAAATTTGTAGGGGAAAGTTTGTAAATTGCTTAAGTGAGTTTGCGATTCAGCGTCGAATAAATAGCTAATGCCCAAAGCTACAAGAATAGGAAACCCTTTACGAAATACCCTCGGCGGGAATTTGCATAATGCGACGTGAACGTTCTACGGGTTTATGTTCTCCTGTTACAAATCTGAATATTTCAACCCCCCAAATAAACTTTAAATTTTAAAATAAACTTTGCTACTTTTTTAAAGCGTATCTGGGAGTGGAAAGGGTTCCAGGTTTAGAGGCAGATGAATATCTGCAACGTAACGTTTTATACTAAAAGTCCGCTTTCAACAGAGCGTATTGCGTCACCACAGACGCTTTCGTAGAATGGAAAAGGGTTGAAACCTGCCGTCGGTCCCCTGACACTGTTGTCAATTGGAGCTTTTTTTTCTACTGAAATTGCATTCCAACAGAATCTCATTGTTACAGATGACTTTATCCGCGATTAAACAATTAATGATAAAAGCACCAAAATTGGTTATGATGCTAGGCGAATGCGATGTGCCGTTTAAGCTTCCAAGTGATCCACAATTGATTCGTGTGCATAAATTTCACAGACAGAGGAGAGAAATTTATACACAATTTGAGGATGCTTTTACAGAGTACGTGATGTAGCTTAATTTATAAAATTAAAACTCGAGTTTCAGATATGGATTAAATGGAAGAGCTTGCGTAAAAAGAATGATTTGTGACGCTCACGTGTATTTACCGGAAAAAGGGCAATCGTTGGTTGCTGATCTGTTAGCTACGGTTTTTGTGTAAGTATTTTGTGATAAATCCTCTTTTATCCATTTTTAACGTGCCTCGGAGATTTATTCTTTTTGAAATCTGTACCAAAATAGTGAAATGAAATTTTAAATTGCATGCTAGAAATTGAATACCGATTTTCTCGAATAATTGATGTATTTTTAGTGATGCACTTGACGATAACGATGATCAATATGGAGATAAGTGCGACGCAAGCATCTACAGAGATTGTGAAATTTCTTTCTTGAATTACATTATGGGTAGCTTATCAACACCGATCTCGCAATAACTTTAATTAAAAGCATCCCGCTAATTAAAATTGAATGCTTTCATATTCACATTGGATTCTTCATCACTATAGCGATAGACCTGATTTTACTCATACGTCGAGGCAATTTGTTTGACCCAAATATAAATCCAAGTATAAATCCTACATCGTTCCCTTTAGAATCTAAAGTTTAGATTAATATTAATATAAATCCTATAATCAGGGAAATGAGAAAATTGTGATACAAAAATAAAGTTATTTGTGTTAGTGGCGGTTTTTTGTGATGTTTAGTGAAAGTCTAATCTGCTACTGCTACTGCCCTTCGAAAATGCTATACCTTTCATTAAAAATAGGCTTGAAAATTAAGTATTTAATTCACTTGTTGGCAAGTGTATCTCAAAACAAAGCACACATGCGCTTTTTGCTTTTTCTTATTACAAAAGAAAACCCTTAGGCTACGTCACATTAGCCACCCTCGCATGAGTTTTCTTACTTCTCACGGCGAAAATCAGAAATGATTGTAGCTAGATAGCACTCCATCGCCCCCGAAAAATAAATCATCGCACCCCTTCAGTTATAATGCTATTCAATTTTGTTTGCGGGGGCGGCTGAAGTGCTAGCCCCCCTCTCCCGCATTAATTCCGAAATTTTCACGGCGTACATTATTGAACCTAGATCGCACGTCCCATGAAAAATTTTGGAATTTCATTGTTATTTAAGGTGAAATGGACAGAATCACGGCACGTACTTCCTGTACATTAAGGTGTCCCATTAATAAAGGTCACAGGCCATCTATGGAACCGTTACTTTCACAGCTTCTGGAAAAAGATTTTGTTAACAAAAAAGGTAAAGAGGGATCGCTGAAATTCAAGATTTTAGGTTTGCCGCTAGAGGGCGTACAATTCATGGCTAAGTAGAAAAATAACTTTTTTTCTAAAATATACCTACCCAACAAACATGCATAAAAAATACATGCATCGAAATCTTGTATGAATTTTGCATCATTTTGATGCACCACATATTGCTCTAGTGAGTCTAGCTCATAAAATATGAGGCGGGTGACGGGGAACATCTCTTTGGGGAATTGAATGTAACTTGGTTTAGTTTAACGGATTTTTATTAACAGGTCTTGTTGGAAAGACCTCTCTTCGTGTAATCAGATTTTATGTAAATAGAATGTTTTTACTCAATCTAAATTTTTAAATTATGAGCCACAACAAAATAAAATGATTAAAACTTTAAATCAGAGAAATATGAATTAAATAATAAAAGAAACAATAATTATAATTTTATAGTTTTTTACGTGGTATTTCTTCTGTTTCAAATCCAACTTGGATGAGTATAAAGATGGCAATTTAAATTTGTGAATGTGCGTATTTTTGCCATATCTCTGCTTAGGAAACAGATATCAAAATGGGGTTTTCTGATATTTTAACTTTTTTCTTTTATTTGATAATATATAATTCTTATATCGTTCCACTTAAAATTTTCAAAAAAACCTGCAAAGTTTATGTTAATATCACCTCGCGTCATTTACCAATCATCACATTTACTAAAAAGGTTCGCTATTCATATAAAATCTGATTACACGAAGAGATCTCTTTCCAACAAGACCCACCTATTATGTGAAAATCAGTTTATCTAAACCGAAGTTACATTCAATTCCTCAAAGAGATTGCCCCCCCCCCCATATTTTATGAGAAATATGTGGTGCATCAAAATGATGCAAAATTCATACAAGATTGCGATGCATGTACCTTTTACGCATGTTTGTTGGATATATTTTAGGAAAAAACCATTTTTCTACTTAACCATGAATCGTACGCCGTCTAGCGGCAAACCTAGAAACTTGAAAATTATTTCCAGCGATTTCGCTTGGTCCCTTTTGTTAACCAAATCTGTTTCTCGAACCTGTGCAATTAACGGTTCCATACTATTACCTGTGACATTTATTCATGGGACACTCTATACATTTATTGAGCCATATTCAGACAGACCGCGTTAGTAGTGAGAGTGCAGCCATTCCCGCCTCTCTTTTTTCTGACTTCATGGTGCTGCGCTGTGAATGGTTGCGCCATTTTGTGGCGGCAAATTTGAATTTGTGCGAGAGATTTGAATTTCCGTCTGTCTGTCATTTTATTGCGGTAAATTTGAATTTGTGCGGGGGGAATTTTTTACTGTGATTGTCTGTGCATTTTTTCGTTTCGGTGCATATTTGGATTATTGTTCTTGCGCTTAAATAAGTTGTTACCACGAAAGTGTACGGGTCCAATGTGCAAGACATTTCCGTTGCGCCAGATTTGTAGTGGCAAGTCACGTAATATAGTTATTTATGCATCAAGGGCATTAAGGCGATATTTATGCCGAGGGCGACAGAGCCCGAGGGCCTCCGGCCCGAGGGATTGTCAGTCGCCCGAGGGTTAAATATTGAGTAATGCCTGAGGTGCATACAACATTTTATTTTTCATCGTCCCAAAGAATGCATTTCCACTATACAAATGTCATGATATATTGTTTGCCCAGCTTCATACGAATCAAGTTGTATCTGTTTTATGACATAATATAACTCCGTCAATCAATTTGACAGGCCGTTTGAGGGCATAATGAGATGACAATCCATTACGCCCTCTCATTATGCCCTTGGGCGTAATAGACTGCTTCATGTATCACATATGACAGATATAATTGACATATAATAGGCAAATGAGAAATAAAATAATTTATTAATCAAAGTTGTGCATCTAATTTGTTTTTATGAAAGGCGAACAACATAATGAACATAACGGCTACCGGTGAAAAGGTTAATTAATTAATTCAAGTTTATGTTTGCTGTTAAAACCCTAGGATACATTTTTGATTACACATTGCGGAACATCGGTAATTTATTACGGCAAATATCTCAAAGTTCAACTTATTAAATCAAAGCAAGCCTGAAGCACAGTTTGTTCCTGAATAAAATTGCGTCAAGCATCTTTCGAAATTAATTTGGGTCGTGACCACGAGATGGGCTTGAAACTCTTACTTGGTCTTAATTACATGAAATGATAAATTGTTTAAATTACAAAATGTGTAAAGAAAACTGAAATTGGAACGATATTATTTTTAACAATATACAGGGTCCTACAACAGTGCGTCCGTCTTTTCTAGCGCATACCTGGTAAAGAATATCAAAAAACCTTTTGTGCAAATGTCATCCATGGATGGTTGCGCATCTACAGAAATTATTTTTGAATGTACAGGGTACTGTTCCATTTTTACGATATCAATAGATAATTGATTTTTTTTTAATGGAACACCCTATATATTTTTAGTTCTTTCGATGTCATTTTTAACCTCTGCATGGAAACCTATTGACTTTTTGTTTTTTGTCATTCTTAATAAATTATTAATTCTTTTCCGAGTAATTGCCCATAGCACTTTGATAATTCGTAGCGACCTTGATTTTAAAGTTAAGAAATACATTTGATCAATAATGTTAATCTGAATAAGAGGAAACAGTTTGGTAACGAGGAAGTTGGATTTCAAAGTGTCCTAACTATTTTACTATTAACTATTTTTTTTTAAATGGAGCTACCACTATTTTATTTCTATATTCGGTGGTATTTTGTGTGTTCTTCAATTTTTATAAGGGATGTCTTGTGCCTAAACTCCTTAGTTTTTAGGTTATTCAATATTTTTCACATACATAATTACAAATTAATCAATTACATGTTTAGAAACCGGTGTATACCGTGATATTAAAAAAACAGAAGGGTGCCCGAAAGCAAGCGTCACAAATAAATTAATTATCTACTGCAAGGGTACTCCGTATTTCCTATTAAAATAAGATTAATTAAAAAGGCGAATTTCGAAAAAGATGAATAAATAATCTTGTTTTACCCCGAATAAGGAGTACACTTGCAGCAAATGATAATCTTATGGCACTTGTTTACTGTCTGGAATTATTTGGTTTTTTATTACCACGGCTTACTCCTATTTATAAACAGGTAATCAATTAACGTGTAGCTATTTTTGTGAAAAACATTGAATAACCTAAAAAATACTGGGTTTTTGCACAACAAATTGAAGTGCACACAAGAGACTTACGAATAGAGGAATAAAATAGGGGTAATCTCATTTGAAAAAAAAAGTTATGGCATTTTGAAATATGGAAATTTTACTATTTTTGTGTACACCCTATATCACTAAATCCAACTTTCTATTACCAAAGTGTTGCCTTTTATTCAGATTTATTGATTAAATCTATTTCTCAACTTTAATCAAGGTCGCTACGATTTATCAAAGTGTGAGTGGCTTATAGAGAATTATTCGGAAAAAAATTAATAATTTAGCGGCATTGACAAAAAACCAAGTAGTCAATATGTTTCCATGCAAAACGTTAAAAAATGATAGATCGAATCAGCTAAAAATATACAGGGTGTTCTATTAAAAAATCCTCTGTGTATTGATGCCGTAAAAATGTGTCAAAAATAATTTTTGTAGATGCGCAACCATCTGTTGGTTGGTCACGAGAAGTGCGTTAGTTCCGTTTCGGTTTTTCTACGTAAAAATAGAAGTTCGTAGTTGGTTGAAATGTCCTTCGGAAGCTATCGAAACTGTGGTGATAGGGTGTTTTCAATCGGGGAGGAAAGTAAAAGGCGATTCCATTTACACATTTCTGTCCTAGGGGAATCTCAAATAGAGACAATTTCTAGGGGAATCAATGGAATTTTAGAAGGAATTTGGTTACCTAATTTATTGTGTTTCAATCGCCGGGAATGAAAATATCTTAAGAGTATCATATCAATTTCACTTGGTGGTTAAACAGCTCATTTTGATTTTCTTTTATAAATTAAACAGTTCTATTTTAAAATAAGGATCCTGTAACCGGAAATGTCGTATACGCCGAAATCGACTATCTAAACCTACCTTGTTATGTTACAAGTTAATTAATTCTTGGAGTTTTTATTCACTATTATTTCTATGTTTCAATAATGTCTCAATACTTTCTTTCACTAAAAACTTGTCAACCCATGCCAATACAGTAAACTGATGTTGGTCAAAGTGCCTTTGCTTATTCATCCCTTGCGTAACCAAATTGAGTGCAGAATTACATTAGATACCTACATTTCAAAAGAATTAGCTGATAAGATATTTTCTAATCGTTTTACATATCGTACTTTGACCATCACCGTGCTCTCTTTACTTATTTGTTAACCAATCATCTTAAAAATCTATCTTCCCGTTACAATCCAGATATTATGGCCACTTATAAATTTTCCATTAGTCAACAAAGTTTTTATTTTAGGTGGATTGCGATTGCAATAAGATTTGACTGAGAAGATCGAATTTTTGTCAGTTTGATACAAAATAATTTCATTTCTATGCCAAATGGTTGCACACTTTAGAAAATTTTGCAGAATTTATGTAAAGAAGTCAATTAGACTTCTTAAGAATGACGAAAACCAGGCATTCGAACAATATATGCGACACCAACACCTCACAATAGAAAATGAAGGTTTCAAAATCAGCTTGAATTTATCCTCATATTATGAACATAATTTTTACCCAAAAATACACTTACATGAATATTGAACGAGCTGTTTAGGAGGACCAGTGCACTGATTCGCATGGAATACACTAATATACTAAAATTATATTGAATTACAATGGGGTTTTCCGCGTTTTTTCAAAAACCTTGAAAATGAACTCCAAGCACATTAAAAAAATTAGTGGTACTCATTTTTTTGTCAAGAGAAATCGTTGTGATTAGCAAACACGATTTTAAAATGAACGGCGTTTGAAAAGTTTCGAATGACCGCCACGTTGCAGTGACGTCACTACGCGCGTTGGCGCTCAGCCGTAGCATTGCTTACAATCGATTCAGAGAAAGAAAACGTCGTTTTGACGGAAAAAAGCGTCGAATAATTATTGCATTTGTACCTGAGCGTGATAGCAGAAGTCATCGCGAACCTAATAAATTGTATATAAACGTCCCAACAGGAAATATACGAAAAAAGTTCGACGTGATACCGCGAGTTTTGACATCCCATTTGTATTGTTGAGAAGACGATTTTAATTAATTAAAGTACATAATGTCGATTTACTTTCAGTCAGTTATCGACGTCCATCGATATGTAATATTGTAATTGTAATTCAGAATAACCATTCCGCAGCATAAAAAAGGAATATTTCAGAGGTCATATTCGTACGCGATTGCTCATGTATATAATACTTTGCCAGCAGATGTAAAATGTTATGTACCAGATAAATTCAAAGTTAGTGTTCGTCGACTCCTCCTAAAAACATCCTAAAAACATAATAAATATGTAAAATATTTCCGTGTTAAAAACAATTAACAGCTTACTTTGTAAACCACATCTTGATTGTCAAATTCTTGTTTCTTGAGTTTTAAATGTACTACTCCATTTTTTGTTTCACTTTTTGTATGTATCATGACCTGTCTAGTTAAATACACTAACATAAAATAAATTAAAGGTTGAGTGGAAGAGCAGACACGGATGATATCCCTGTCTGAACTCCGCCATTTAGACAGGCTCTGTATAGAAATTGTCTATTAAAGTCATTTATTATTATTATTTACTTCGAACTCTGTTCTGGGCATATTTGTGCCCTTACAGCGCACACATTTTTCTCTATTTTCACTTCCACATATCCAACACCCTAATTTTCTCGTTGAAATCCGTAAGGTGCATACTGTATTAGGTACCTACACTATACCTTGCACTATACACACATAACTTGATGTTATACTTCCTATGAACCATAACAGATTTGCTTCTGGGCTTTGACTCCACTCAAACGAATGGCATGGAAAAACTCACTTTTCGAGAAAAAGGCGGCGACCATTAACACTTCAACCTTTGGCAGACTATCTAACTGCCCCTTTACGAACCAGTCAAAACTCAGTTTATGGCAGATTGCCATAATAAGTCGAATCTAAATAAATAAATAAATAAATAAATAAATAAATCGAACTCCTATCAGTGTCATGCACTAATATAACTCCCGATCGGCAACCCGCGTAGTGACGTATGCAACGCTCGGCCAATATCGGCATGTCGTCGGTTGCATGACAAAATTTGAAAGTTTTACGATATTATATGTTGTTTATTGACATGCTGCAATTAGGAAAAAAAGTTTTGTATATGAGATGTTTAATTACAGGTTATAAACTTTACAGTAAGACACAAAAAAGTTACAATATTTTTTTTCAGGAAGACCCTATTTGTTTCGCTAGTGACGATAACAACGAGATCACGTGTGGCCAACAGGTTTGCCGAGTCCTTCAAATTGTGAAAAGGAATCATTCACCAAAATTGAAATATTCTATCCTTTATTTGAGTAAATTTCCACAAAAATTTCGACTCCACGTACGTACCCACGTTCAAAGGTATAAAATTTGGAAGGTGGAAGGTGGAAAAATTTCTCAATTACTCAATCAAGAAGAGTTCGTTATTGTCACTGCGTGCCTGCGATAGTCTGTCCGTTCATCTGTTCGACTGGCCGATGCATATATCTACCAAAGATTTAATTTCTTGGCCAAAAATTTAGAAGCAAAAGAAAACGATTACCTTCGGTAATTAACGTTGACCATTATACTTCGCATCTAACTCTTTCAAACGTGAAAATTTGTTTCTTCCTTAGTTACCATATCTCATGGCACTTTTGGTGCGCAACAGGGTGCGCAAGAAGCGGAGATGGTTGATCTATTTAATAACGATCTAGAGGAAACAAACAAATTATCGACGAAAATCCGCAACTGATATAGTGTGATATACAATTTTTAGCATACGCACGTTAGTAAGGGAGGTATTGAATTGGGGTAAAAAATCCCGTTTTCAATTAATACAATTTTGTGGTTGTACCGATTGGAATAATAATAACCATCTTTTCCAGTACATGATGGTTATAAAATAAAACAAGTCCATTAATATTACAGCTTACTCGTTCTTCTTTGCTGCATTACTTTGAGAAGGTAGCGGCCACTGCAGCGCGCGCTAACGATGGTTCTGTGGTACTAATGATAAATGTTATATACATATAGTAAGTATACAAATACTTCTAAAACTGAAACTAATCTTAAACCTGCACTTATAATATTATCATTATACCTACACGTTTGCACGGTAATGAACGCATTATGAAGGTGTAGAAGTTAACTCATCTGTATATATATAAATATAAATATATACAGGGTGGTGTTTTTAAGGAAACCATTAGAAGTATTTCAGGAACGGTTTGGAATTTTGATTCGGGACTGATTCTTTTTGATCGATTATTCGTTGCTGAAATACTTCAATGGTCCACTTAAAAACACCACCATGTATGATATATTCTGAGATCATAAGGTGAGAGGGGAAAACTATGTTTGCTGGGCCAACCAGGTGGTTTTCGTAAAGGTTGAAAAACAACTCAAAACCCATCGGCCACCTTCCTCTGAATATTAAACCAAGTAAGTATTTCCTTGAATTGAATTAATAATTAATAAACAATGGCGATATTTAAATTCCAAACCTTAATTTTCTTAACGAAATTTTTGCGCAATTAGCGATCTCTTTTTTACTTTCTGACTACATACAAAGTATGTATTATAAAGGAAAGTATTGTAATCGTGATAAATTTTCGATATGCCAATATTGCGTTTTCTGGACGTTTTGAAGCACACAGACTCCAAAAAAGTGATTTTTAGCTTGACGTCTGTGTGTGTGAGGGTGGGTGGAGGGTGTGTATGTATGTGGTTCGTTTTTTGTGACCACGATAACTAAAAAACCCCTGAACAGATTTGGACGAAATTTTGGGTGCATATAGGGTGGTATGGGGAATCGAAAACGTCCTATTTTGGTTTTGATCCGTAACCATCTTCATGGTTGTTGACTGTTGAGGGTGTCAAAAGTTTAAAAGATCCCATTTTTTAAATTTTTTTTTACACTGGCTAAAGTGACTTAAAAAAACTCTACAAAAAATTCATTACAGTTTTTTTGTGAGTTCCGTAGTTTTCGACCAATTTTGAATTGAAAGTTGCAATACAAAAGACGCAGTGATTATGGTCCTTACAGTATAATGTGACTTCATAAACCGCTTAGTGTAGTAGGACAATAAGAACTCGTATATAAATTACAGTTACCATGAATTTCTGATAACTTCATGTACCCAGAAATGGAATCGCTGAAATTTCCCTTTTTTAGTTGAGTATTTTTTTATTTAAGTAACAGTATCATATCGTATATAATTTTAACTTTTAATTCTAGTCTATTAATATGCGTAATAAATGCGGTACACTTTAGTATTCCCTCCAGAAGGAAGAAATAATGTTAGCATTAGTCTTCCAAGCATAATGGCAGGGCTCTACAAGGTTCATACTCTTTAGGGCGTGTTGCTTTGTCACAGTATTGATCAGGTAGGGCCATCTCACTCACATCCACGCACATCACGCTACGTCGGCGCATCGGCTTTTCACCCTAAAACACGAATTCTGTACGGAAATACAAAATTCGAAAATAGGAAATCTCTACCTTATCGGCACACGTTACAGGACAAGATTGCCAGGGACCTATCCACCAATGCGACGGACAATTCTCCATATTACAGGTTCTCATCAGTTGCTCTGGACGATTGCTGTTCTCGCACCAGCTTTCCTCAACAAGAGTTGCCGTTCCGTCGATAACAGAAGGCATTACGGCAGCAATCGATTCCTGACATAAAGGTCGACGGAATTGCGTTCCGCCGCCACATGTAGCGGAACATTGCGACCAATCGCTTAAAATCCACAGATATTGAACCATTTTCGGTTCACGTTTCGATATTGTATATTGATAGGTTATCCCAGGATTATGGGTTTTTCCACGAAAGTACACCTGCAAAACAATTCAATTAATTTTTTAATTGAGGCACATTGCGTGTCTATATAAAATGCGAGAAACATGGAACGTGGTGTAATTACTGTAATAGAGAGGTTGGATTTTGACGTAAAACTGCGTTATTAAAGTCACATTTTCGTATTGTTATGCAAATATTCAGACTTCTGTAAGGAGCCGTTTCAGGAGTTTTTCACGCAACATTTCTGTAGCACTGTCAGCTCTGATTAACAAAGAACTAAAGCTGGGTAACAACTTCCTCTTATCAATGGCGAATATGCAAAACTCTGAGCAACGTTTAATACATACAGTGTATTGCACACTCAAGGGACGAAACTGCGTGTTTTAATCCCGAGAGCGTAGTTTGTTTCCCGAAATAATAATCCTTCACGCACGAATACTGTATAGCAAAATAGGCCACGTTGGATACAGACCGCCTTTAGACGTTTTCATAACACCCTGTTGACAGAGCACCCAAATTCCTGTATATCGTGTATAACTATAGTGTTTTTATTCAATGGTTATATTTAGCAACCTTGACTATTGTGTTACCACTAAATAATTATTAACGATCTTCGAGATCGTGTGTAATCTACGTTTTTATAAAAGATATTTAACGCTAACTATAAAAACTACCCGTTTCTTTGGGTATTCCGCTCTACGGCTAAATTTAGAGCTCCATAAAAAGAAAACCACCCCATCAACTTATATCAAATTTTAGTATGTTTCCTAAGACGGATTCTGAATTCTATTTCCGAAATGTATTTAAAGTTTATGTAAATAATTAACAAGTGCATGTTTTTTAAATTGAGTTGGTTGTTTTATTGTTAATATAGCGAATTATTACGTACTGTTACTGACTTTTTTTCCCCTACTGCGACCACTGCGGTCAATTTCCGTGGTTTGTGGGTGAATATCACGATCTAATATAGAGAGAGTGAACTCCCTATCGTTACATAGTATAACCACAAAGAGAATCTATTTTATGGCCAATGTGATGAGTAATTATTTCCAAACGCAGAGCAAACCGAAAGTGATTTATTTATATTTGATAAATCGTGGAGGACTATTTCTCGCAAAAAACTTTAGAGACGGTCTATCTTCCATCGTTTATGAATGATAAGTTACGTTTTATAATATACCTCAAATATTAGACGAATAATTTTCCACTATAGGACTTCGAGACGGCATATGGTTTTGAACCGTTTACCAAATTTAAACGATCACAGGAACTGCATTCTTTCAACAAAGAAGGGTTTCCGTTGGAAGTATTCATGTTTTTTGTCTTTTGTAACAGTCCATTCCTTTTTTTTAAAAAACACCTTAGCCCATACTGTAGGGACGCTAATGGTAAATAACATTAATATTTAAATAGGTAAACTCATACACATGCGTTATCGTGAATGCGCTTTCTCGCTTAACAATAAAATTTCAATCAATTGTATTTTTGATATTCGATATTGAAGGCACCGTTGATAACGCTCCGAAAGTGGCCAAAGAAAATTATTGTGTTGAAAACCTTTAATGGGATTAATTTGGAATTTTTGCATCTGGATTTCTGGTTACCGTTCGACGCATAGTTACTGTGTTTTATCCAGCCCAGTTTGGGGATTATTATCCGTACGAAAATAGTACGCCCTGAGATTGTATTGTCGTGGCACTTTTCCATATGTTATTAGAGAGAAACCATGGCGGTCACCGCGCTCATGGTCACACTGTCAGTATAAAATCACTGTACTGTTAGGCCTTGAGTTGCTGGACAAATTACCCTAGTCACCACACATTAACCCGATTGGTCGCGGTTTCAGTAATCAGATTGGCGAACTCATAACGCGATCCTGACCGGTACGCGCCTCGTCTTCCATTTCCATTCATTAGCGGATCGGTCGGCGGATAAGTCAGGACGAACCGATCTGGCTGATCGATCAGCCAATGAAAATGGTGGTAAACTGGAGATCTACGCTCTCTATCTGAACGACGCAGTATTGGAGAAGATGGTACTCCTTCTGCTGAGCGGTTACTTCTGCTTTTGGAAGTTCTGGGGTGATGTGAAGTGGTTTGTAGAACTGAAACTGAAGATCGAGTTCTTCTGGGTACTGGTTACGATTTTGTTGACGTTCTAACTCGGGATGATCTGTGGCTTCTTCCGGTTAATCGGCGAATGAAACGTTTCGAATCTCCTCTGTGTAATCAATTTATGTGACGTTTCAACGTTCGTCCTTTATCCAAAACGACGATGTAGTAGGGCTTAGGTACCTAATTTCTCTTTCCCAGGTACTTTTGTTTCCATGATATACATCTTGTTTGAAGTAAGTTCTGACTTTAACATAGCGTCTAACTTGATACGTAATTTTCGATATAAATAATTTTCCGCTGTAGACCGACCATCTATCAGTGGTAATGCTCGACATCTAAACAGAATACGTTGAGTTTTCTATTGCTGCATTATCCTTATTCATAGTTTTTAATCAATTTGTCTGGACGTTCTTTTCACCCAATCCGTTAGTCGCTGGATGCCTTGGTGCAATTAATTTCTGAAAAATTCCGTTAGTTTTTGTATGATCTCTAAATTCAGCACTCGTAATATAGTTGCCCTGCTCGAGACTATTTCCCGCGGTCCGCGGATAACCATTTTGGCTAAACACTCGATAAGTAATTTGAAGAAGCGGGTCTCTCTTTATTAATTGGTCGTGGGTAATCTATATATTTTGATTTGGATATTCCCACCCAATGAGAACCTCAGATTTTACAGGAGCATTAGTACGCGCTACGCGCTCGTTGCGGACTAAATCTTGGATATCTTTGTCAATACGGCCAGTAACAACAACCACTAGCTAATTGATATATTCATTGCTTGTTCATAATTGATGTCGTGCCTAAAAATCGGCGAAGATCATTGGCATTACGCGGGTGAGGCATATAGACTATTGCCCTTATCTTTCTAGGCGACTTAGCTAGTTTTGCGGGAAAGTCAAAGTGTCGTGTTATTTTGGATCACCCGATACATCCACTCATTTAAATGCTTATTATTCATAACAGGTTCAAGATTTTTTGGAAAATTTAAAACTCCACGTGATTTTCGTAAGAAAACGCTATAAGACATTTCACATTGCTTCAGAGTTTAACCAGTTTGTACAGCCCTCCTTATTTTACATCCTGGTGGATATCAAATTGACTTACTGTTAATAATTATTAATTTATCGGATTTAAATTGTGCTCATTTTGTTTTGATTTTACCGCCAAATTCTCATTTTGTACATGGAGATGTATTAAAATTTTCAGTCTGGCGAGTGTGGAGGGAACCGAAGCAAACTTTTTTCCCCAATAAATCAATGCCCGAAATGTTGATCACAAAAGTTCCAAAATTAGCGTTGCCTTTTTTCAGCACCTCGGGGTACGGAATTAAGGACTTTACACAGGTTTTCCCTTTCCGATATTAAAAATTTCAAATATTTTCAAAGTGTAGAACAGATTTGATAAAAATAGTTTCCAGAAGAATATTGCAGTTGTATTTTTTCGAAGTTTGGAAACTAATTTTGTGTATGTCATTTTCATCTCGAAAAGCATCCAAATACTGAACTTATTCACATCGTTTTATGATGGTGCGCCGCGCCATCTTGTTATAGGGATTTTGAAAAGCTGCATAAACTTTAATTGTTGGTATGCAGGCATTAACAGTTTCAAAATTGCATAATATCACCATTAACATTGACGCAAAAAACGTGAGAATTAGAGAACAGATCGGCCAAAAACGAACATAGCTATTAAGTTGTAATCCGAGATTATGTTGCGGTCGAGATTGACGTACAAAACGTTGGCCCACAAATGAGCACACAACGAACTCAAATTAATGCGTAAAATCCTTTTCGGGTCTTGATTGTGGGGGAACAACTTACTACCCGTAAATATTTGGGTAATTGTGTGTATGGGATGCTCATAGAGAACTACAAGATCATTGGATTGTTTCATAGCACAACGGTGGTCAATAGAAGAAAGAAAAAAAATTTTTAAAGAGACAAAGCGTTGTTTCATTTGCTTACGATTTGGTCATAGATTAAAAAGTTGTAAATATCGGGTTAGATGTCTCGTATGTAGTAAAAGACGTTATGGAATTTTATGTCCTGATCTCCAGAAGATGATACAACATCAGAAAGCAGAAAGTGCGATGAAGATCATAAGACTTGGAAATATTGTCTACGACACTTCGTGTGAAAGTCCTTAGAGAAAATACATCTAAGGAAGTGCGTGCATTTATCGACCCTGGGGCGCAATTGTCTTATATTTTGGAAAGTTCGGCGTTAGAATGAGGATACACTAAAATTGCAGAAGCAACGTTTTCCCATAATCTATTTGGGAGGTGCATCTACAGTTACAGTCTTCACGATTCAAATATCATTTTGAAGTATACGAGAAAACAACATTTGCAGTGGGATTCCTAAACTATTACCCGCCAATTGGAGGAAAGACCTACATGCAAGTGGTATTCCAGTGAAGGACGTCGGTAGCAGAAGTCATAAAGTTGAAGCTCTGATTGGAGGTGCTATTTATGGAAAGTTGCTGACTAGAAAGTTACATGAATTAGAAAATTGAGACGCTATTGAGATGGACTGTTTGGGGAAAAGTGAATTGTGGTGAAGACAATTAGTATGGTAGTTACTAGTTACGCTAATGCTAAATTCTTCATCAGCAATTAAGTTTCCGTGAAATTGATGGTTTTTCTCCCTATGTTTTCTAGAACTTCTTTTCTTAGATTCCCTCATATTTCTATAATATTTATTTTAAGTATTTTATTGGGAATATCGTGTTTTAATTCAAATGTTTCATAATAGAGTTAGTAGTAAATTGAAGGCTTAGTGTTTAGTGCTATTAATTAAACAATATTCATTTATGCTTTCATGTTCGGGCTTTCCTTTCCCCATTTCATAAATCTTTGTTTAATTTTTCATGAAGTACCTACGTCTATTGTGCGTATTTATACGCGTTCAATTAAACATGGTAAG